CCCTTAATATGTAGCAGCGCCATAGTAACAGCATGAGCTCAGAGATGAGTGGCCTTAGCTTGCATCAGCAGGACTTTCTTAAGGGTCATTTTGTCTGTTGCCCTGCTACATTTAAAACTTAGGGTCCAGGGCTGCTCACCCTAACCACAGAATCACAGAATGGTTTGGGTTGGAAAGGACCTTAGAGACCATCCAGTTCCAATCCCCCTGCAACAGGCAAGGACACCTTCCACTAGACACTTCCACAATGGCACCTGCATTTACTGAATCCAAATAGGTTGGGAGTGAGTGCAGAGCCTTTGGAAACCTGTCTGTGCTAAAGGAACAAGTTCCTGACAAGATTGCCACAGAGCAATTTAATGGGTTTCTGCAGCTGTTCAAAAGCTGTGAATATTTCTATTCATTCCCTTGGAAAAAAAGGTTAATAAACTTTGAGAATCAGGGAATATTTCTATGTAATAGCTCAGTCATGGGAAGAGGGGGCAGGGTGTAAAGGTGGTGGTTTTTTGCTGCAGAAATATGCTAGGCACAGTCCTGAATTTCCTTCTAGGGATGGTGAAGTGCATGTTGTGTTCTGCGTACAGAAGAGCCAAGGAAGAGCAAGGAAGGGAAGAAAGGGGAGAGATTATTCTTGTGCAGAGTTTCTCTGAGCTACCCAACAAAAAAACCTGCCAGTGGGATTCAGATCTTTCTCCAACACAGTGAAGCAAGCACTCATTTCTGACATGACTACCCTGGGGACTCACACCTCTAGACAGAGCTGGAAATGAGGGCTAGAGAATCCATCATGAACTTTCTCTGCTCTCACAGGTAGGAACTTTCTTTGATTAGCTTTAGTGGCTGCAGTGCTCTCTTACACAGGATGGTGGCCAGGGGTGGAACAGAGAAAGAGCTCTGTCTGCAGCCAGCCTGTGCCCATGGCTTGTGGGGAGAGAAGAGCTGGAGGGTGATGATCCTGTAAAGCTGGGGCTTCAATCCCACAGCCTGATCTGGAGAGACAGGCCTGCTGCCATCTGCCAAGGAAAAGGGCTCTTCCCCACCTTAAATCATGCTTGGTGTTCAGGTGCTATAGAATTAAAGTAAAGCAAATTATAACCTCCCTCGCTGTGCCAGACACAAGAGATTTACAGCCTGGGTTTTTTCTCATCAGCTGCACAAAAGCTATGCACTGGTATGAATCATGTGTAGAAAGCGGGGGGGCAGACTACAATCAGAAACAACCCTGCCTCACTCTAGCAGGAACACAGGCTTACATTGGTGTGACAAACACACAGCTTCTACACAGCAATAAATCTGGTCTCTTTGCAATACAAGCAGCTATCTGCATTTTACTTGCACAGAAGCACTTGAAGACATACGACCACCTTGATGGCAAGAGGTATGAATGACAGCACTGCTATTTTATACCCTCAGCCTATCCTTAGCTGAGTCACGAATGCCAGAATAACCAGCAGGCAGAGGGGTCTCAATTCGTCATCACGATAAGGATGACAGAACGACTACACTGTCTGTTTCTTTTGTGCATGCATAGGCATATATCCTTTACGCTACCATCACGAAAAAACTTTTCTCTGCCCTTGTACAGTGCTGATACAGGACTTAGTGGAGATGCACATGGGGTCATCCACTTCAGCCATATGAGGCTTACCTATGGCTTACCACATGGCTACAATTAGCTTTCAAACCATGAATTTGAATAAAGCCCCACTGGTACTAAGTGGTGACTGTGAGCAGGACTTCTGTTCCTGATTCTGAAGCTCCCACTCAAAACTACATATCAAATGATGGAACCAGTAACTTCAGTAAAATGAATATATATGGTCAATCTCATTGCCAGAGAAACAGCAACAGAAAAACAGCAGTCCGGATGAGGTAGCTAAGATGAGGACCTGAGGACAGATTGTGCTGGACAGAAGACTAAATCATTCTCTGGCCTTGTCAGCTGTAGGTTATTGCCAAGCAATGGACAAAAATATCTATATTATTTCACCCATATTCTCTGGCTTAGAAGAGCAATTAGACAGTTGAGCATGTGGCTTTCCTAAAGTTACAAACAAGTACGTCCCTGAAGCACAGTCGTGTATCTGAGGCCACCAGGCCTGGCGCTGGTGGTAGAGACACAATGACATTTTTACTCTTCAAAAATGGGTTAGACCTGAGCAACAGGGATTAGGTACTCACCCATCTTCACACACAATTTGTGTGATAATTTTAGGTGACACATCACCAGTCAAGTCTTAGAATTGCAGAAAAGCTTTTTGAATGACTATATTTTTTTCCCCTACAAACCATCTAGTAATCAGAATAAAACGAAACACGTATTCCAGCCTCCTCTGAGCAGTTTTCTGAAAAAGGTAGCAGTCATTTTAATTGGCCTATAATACATAATACACTATATAATCTAGAGGATGTTCAAGATAAACACTTTATGCTCTCATTTTCCAGTACACATACTCTAATACCTCCTTCTATTGATATGACATGCAGAAAACTAGGACAGCTAAAAGAGAAGTACCTGGTGCGCACAGCAGCATGGCAGGTGTGATCTACCTCGAGGGTGATCAGACAGCCACAACCAAGAACTAGGACATACATGTCTGCCAAGAGGGATTTCAGAATGAATGCTGTGTCCTAAGTAAAGCCAAGTAATGAGACAAGCGCACAATCTGTTATTGTTGTCTGCAGTGTTTCTGCCTTCTAAGAGCAGTTCTCTTAAAAAAGCCCCATCTCAAAATCACCAGCCCAAATTCTCAGACATCACACAGTCCCTGAATGGTGGAGGTGGTGCAGGACCTCTGGAGCTCGTCTAGTCCAGCCACCCTGCTCAGAGCAGGGTCAAGTCCCTCTACTAGGGATATTGAAAGACATACATCATTGTGAGCTAAAAATTCTCATTTACACTAACCCTGATGTGCTTTCACACATAGGAACCCAAGAACATTTCCATTCGGACATCTTAGTGATATTCAGTTCTTTCATACATTCAAACATTTTTCTGACTGCTCCAAACATGTACTAGCATATTAAAGAGGATTTATTTTAAAAATTCAAGCTTGTTTTGGAAGCATCATTAATAAACACAACTGTACTCAGTAGAGTTGATTGTGAAACAGGAAGTTATATATGCTTGTAAATTATTTATGGCACCTCATGAGAATTATGAATTTGAAAAGTATTTATTGGCACATAATATTTTTCTAAGCTAAGGAAAAGATTGGAGTACTAGTATCTGTTGCCACCGTTGCTGTCAGCAGTTGACCACACCACCTGAATCCTCACAAAAACTAGGACACCACCAAAAAAAAAAGTAGGACATTTAATCACTCCACATTGCCTGGAACATTCAGCAGTGCATCAAGCACCCGTACTCAGCACACTGAGATACCCTGGGCAGATGAACCTGGAATATTTATGTGGGAAGCAATGGCTACTGGACAGGGTGTGCCTGAAATATTCATCAGGAGCTGATCATTTAATGTTTTTCTTAGAAAAACAAATCCCAAATCTTCTACTCTACAAAATGAAGGGAAAAGAAAACCGAAAACGTCATAGGGAAACTAATCCATAGGGTTTAATCTGCTTTCCTTATCGCTAACAGCAGAGTGTCTTCTGGACAATCTTCTGCATCAACTCGATTTTTGCAGAACAGACTTTTGCATACCCATAGTCCCTCATCTGGCCCCAAGCAGCCCCCTTATGTTGCCACTCACATACCATCCGGACAGCATTAAGTAGAAGGATTTGGGCAAGCTCTTCACAGAAAATCCATGTTATTGACTCACATTTTTGTAAATGTTGAAAACTGCATTTGGCAAGAGAGAAAAAACATTCTGGAGAAAACCTTTCTGTCCAGTGCTATGTTCATTACCCTGACCTGCTGGTCCCTGACAGACTGGCTCCTTGTTGTCCTAAACTCTCAAGTCCGGTGCCCTGTCAAGAGAAGGGCTGTTGTCTACAAAAGCAGTGTTGCTTCCTCACCCCACTTATTTAGCCAGTGGTTCATTCTGAATGGCCTGAAATGTCTTCCTTCTTCATAGGACAGGGTCTCTGGCTATCAGCCACACATGCCTCCACTCAGCAGTGCTGTGAAATCCCAGGCTGCTCACCATCTTTCAGGTGTTAATGCTAGAAGAGGCCGCCACCACTAGGTTGTCCCAAAGTGAGTTCAGGTCACACAGAACTACAGACTCATAGAATGGTTTGGGATGGAAGGACTATAAACCTCATCCAGTTCCGTACCCCTGCCATAGACAGGGACACCTTCCACGAGACCAGGTTGCTCCAAACCTCATCCAACCTGGCTCTGAACACTGCATCCAGCATTCCTGGAGCTGGTCTTGCCAGTTGGCTGTGTTTTCACTTTTCTCTGGCAGGATGTTCATGCTGTTCATGGATGCATGGCATCCTTGCGAGCACAGCCTGTTTTCCACGCATGGTTGGAGACATTTCCCCTAGTGCCTCTGGTCATCCCATTCGTGGGGCTTAAAAAGCAAACCCCAGGTACTCCCTAGCCAACACTGCTTTAGCTGAATCTTCTGAAATATTTCCTAGGGAGTTTTTTTGGGGGGGAAACCATGGATATTTCTCATCAGTGTGGAAAAAAACCACCTATTCAATTTTGCCTTCAGCTACACAGAAAGTCTCCTGCTCCCCTTGCTCGGGCCTGCTGACAATCACCGCTGGATGCAGGTCACTTCGTGTGCTGGAGGACAGCCACACAGGGAGGCTCGCTGAGGGCTGGCACATAGGTGAGCGTGACAACACTTGTCCTTGGGATCTATGTGTCGCTGCTTTTTTAAACCGAGGGAGGGAGGGTGCCGGGGCGGCATCTGGGGGCACTGACGGCCCAAGATGAGATCTCAGCCCTGCACTCCATGGTGGGGGGGGGGAGGGGGCAGGTTAGGCAAAGACCCCCCGGTGCCGGGATCCGGAAGGCCGCAGGGCCGCGACGGCGTCTCTGTGCGGAACGCCGGAGCCGGGGCAGCCGTTTCCAGCCGAGCCGCGGCGGGCTGGGGAGCGGCACGGCGGTTCCCGCCGGCCTTTGCTGAGGGGCGGCCGGTGTGCCTCGGCGCCGGGCGGCATGGCCGCAGCGATGAAGGTGTTCGCGACGCTGAGGTCTCACTGGAAGAAAACCACGTTCGGGGTCTGCTTGCTGAGCTGGGGCGGAAACTGGCTCTATGGGAAGCACTGGTAATTGCTGCTCGGAGCTGGGCCGGGGCGGAGCGCGCTGGGGGGGTGGCAGAGCGGAGCCACCGCCCCGGCTTTGTGCCCGTGGGCTGCCTCAAGCGGCCGGCGCAGCTCCCGCGTTCAACTCGGGTGCCCAGGGTGCTGATCCGCTGACTAAGACGGGATCCTCTCGCTCCCATGTTCTAGAGACCTGCCCTCGGAGGGGTCCGGCAGCTTGAGGGGATGACTCTCCCTCCCACTCAGCAGCCATGACCTGGGGAGAGCTTGGTGCCTGTTTGTGGTTTCCCGCCTTGGCCGTGTTGTAAGTTTGAGGTGGGAGTTTTAAACAGAGGTGTAGTCATGGTGGCTTGAGTAGTTTTGGGGCCTATTGGAGAGGCAAAAGATGTGTCTTTTCTCACTTAAAAAGCAAATGTCATCAGCCAGGTGTGTGTCATTACCTTGAACCAATATAAGGATGAATAAAAACAGAGGCCCTACACCTGCAAATGGTGCCACTGGTACCAGCTGATGCAAATCACAGAATCACAGAATGGTTTGGGTTGGAAGGGACCTTAAAGATCATTTAGTTCCAACCACCCTGCCATAGGCAGGGACACCTTCTAGTAGGTAAGGTTGTTCAAAGCTTGTCCAATCTGGCCTTGAACGCTGCCAGGGATGGGCAGGGAAGATGTGCAGAGGGTGGCCACTACAGTATGGTGGTCTTGAGCCTGTTTTCCCTCTTCTGTTTTTCTCTTCATGGTGCCGTACACCTCGTGAATGATGCTAGATTTGTGTTGCATCAGCACTTGTGCCTTGAGGCCTGGTCCTAGCAGCAGCCACTGTGCACTGTGCCTCCATGGTGAGCCTGCTTTGCCGTTATCACCCACTTAGAAGGAGCCTGTCAGCTGCTGCATAGGTTATACCTAGAAGGGTGTAATTTCCATTGTCTGTGGACAGCATGTTCCTTATAGTGAGCAAAATCCTCTTGCAATTTTTGAATAGCCAGGCTTATTTAAATCCCTGTCCTTTATGGTTAATACAGTTCACTAGAATGCAAGTATAGCCAAATTACTTTTAAAACCTTCTGGATATTTTTGGTGTTGTTTATTCTGTCATTGTCTTAATATCTGTTTAATTATTATGTCATGATTTTAGCAGTGTTCTTTTCTGCTTATATGAAAATGCTGTGGAAGCCTTGGTGGAAAACTTAGGAAAATAAGCCAGTTTGTGTTGTTTGCTATACTTTCCTTCTTTGCTTCCTTTTGGCTGGAGACTTTTGCATTAGATCAGTCTTTGTTTCGAATGGTACATCTGCTTTAGTTGCTTACTTTGTACCAGAAGCAGTAAGGCTTGGTTGGCTGCAGGGCAAACAGCAAAAAACCCTCTCCCTCATTACCTTTTTACTTGTAATTGCTGATTGTAGGGTAGGCTATGGTAGGATGGAGAACAACTGTGTGAAAGCAGTGGTAACAAGGTCATGGTTTTAGGTGTATATTTGCATGGACAGAGAAGAAGTACATAGTATACTGCTGTGTTGGAAGGGTTGCAAGCACAGAACAAGTTGAGGGGTTTTGATGCCTTTGTGTAATGTCAGTGGACCCTTGAGCTTGCATTCCACTTGACTGAAGTAAATAAAGAGGAAAATATGAAAGGCAAACAAACGGGAAGCTTTTGGTATTTAAATGTCAGTGCTTGGGGGTTATTTGCACCAAGTTGTGGGCTTGGTGCCTAGCCCATACAATGTAGTGGGTGAAAAAAAAAATGTTTACACATCCCATTCTTCAATCTGCCCTCATATTTGAAAGGGAAAAAAACAGCAAAAATGGAAATGCAAGATAGGAAATCCTGTGATGATAAACAGGTCTGTGTGATTTTGATGTAGACTGAAGCACAGGTGTAAAGTACTGCTTTCAGATGTTTAAATACTGTTTGGAAAAAGTGATAAGCATTTAGCTGCAGGATTGTTTTAGCTAGGGAATAGAAAAAATGAGCAGTGACACGAGAACCTGATGGCAAGAGTGTAAAAATTCAGAGGTAGTCTCAGCAGCCCTAATGTGTGGTACACTGCGCACAGTGAAGACCTTACCTTGTGGCTTCTGGACAGTGGGGAATAGGTCAGGATCCTTCTTTACAGCTTGTTGTGCCTCCAGATGTGGTAATGGCTTTTGGTTTGGGTTGTTTTTTTTTGTTTGTTTTGTACATTCTCTCTTCCCAGTTTCTGTACCATTTGTGTGGGGAGCATGAGGTGCCTTTTGCCCCATGCACAAACTGCTGCAGGCAACACTTGAAGAGGTTAATGAGGGCTATTTTGGCCCCGAGGCTTGCTGTTATTGACATCAGAGGCCAAATTACTGTGCATGAGTGTCGTGGTTTAAACCCAGCCAGACAGCTCATTCACTCACTCCCCCCCCTTTCCTCCCTCTTTCTTCCCCCTACTCCTGGAGGGATGGAGAGGAGAATCAAAAGGAATGCAACTCCCACGGGTTGAGATAAGAACAGTTTAGTAACTAAGGTATAACACAAATCATTACTGCTACCACCAATAATAATAATGATAAAGGAAATAAGGGAAGAGAATACAACACCTCGCCACGAGCTGACCGATAACTCGCCCCCCCAGCCTGACCAAGCAGCAACACATACCTCATCCAACCCTGCAGTTCTAGTCCTTCTGGGTAACACTCAGTTACATCCTGGGCATATGTGCTGTGGTATGGAATACTACTTTGGTCAGTTTGGGTCAAGTGTCCTGTCTCTGCTTCCTCCAGGCTTCCCCTCCTCCCTGGCAGAGCATGAGGCTCACAAAGTCCTTGGTCAGACTAAAACATCAGCATTATCAACTCTGTTCCCAGGCTGAAAGTCAAAACACAACGCTGCACCAGCTACCAAGGAGAAAAATGACTGCTACTGCTGAACCCAGGACAATCAGGCATACTTCCCTGGACTTGTATTTGCCCCTTTTAGAACAGATTAAAGGTTTAGTGAAGTCTTGTGCTTTGGTTTCTGGCATCACTGGAGTGTCTGATGAAGGGGCTTGCTTTTAGCACATTATCAGTTTAGATTAGCTTCTGACTTCTTGGAATTAGCTGTCTGAGACGTTGATCATTTGTTGGCAGCTGAGGAAAATTTTGTTTCTCATCCTGCATTCCTCTTCTTCCCTTTTCCATCCTCATGGGTTTTCTAAGATATTTCTCTTGCAAGGAAATAATAATTTGCCTTTTTGACTTCTCAAGGTTCATTCCCCTTTTTCGATGCAGAGCCTATGATGCCTGCATTAAGTGGAGCTATTGTAAATAACGTGTCCTGCAAATAAATGGCAACTCTTCTACAGTCTTTGTGCCCATCAGAACAGAAATGCTCTGTGAGACTTTATATGATGCTGTGTGGACAAATAAGGACAAAAATAATGTTACTTTTCCCAGACTTGTTTCCCATGAGTCTTCCCTGCCCGGAAATGGATCTGTATGTCTCCCTCCTGCAGCCTGTGCTCTGGGGTTTCATGTGGACAGCCTTGTGCTCCACAGGCTGTAGAGGAAAGAAGGGCACTGGTGTGTAATGGTTCATCAACAGGTTAGTCTAAAGGTTGTGGATGACGATAACTTTAAAAGCTGAGGAGCTTCTTAGTCCAGTCTTGTACAATACTTCCCTCATGCAGCATTTAGTTTCTGGGTCAGTGTGTTGGCCTTTCATCTTTGGAGGTGTCTGTTCAGATACTGACTGATTTAAAAATAAGAGGGTTTTGGATGAATGGGAAGAGTAAAAAGGGAACCTTGTACTGATTCCCCCTCCCCTATTTGTGGTACAGTTCTTAGAAATATGTAATAGGGCAGAAGGTGCCTCCTCAAAAGAGACATTGACTGGGAGGTGGCAAGTAAAATACTTGGCTTTATGTCTGGTTGAACTACTGTTAGCTAAAATCCTATTGCTGTCCTTACAAAACCTTAGTGAGTCTTAAAATTCCTTTATTCCTCATAAACAGATATGTTTTAAAAACACATTGTCTTGCATTTAGGATAGCAAATACTCTTGTAGCATTAGAGAACTAAGAAGATAACTCTGTCACATGTAAGATTGTCTCCTTTTAATTTCTCTGGGTTGCATGAATTTTTGTATTAGTGTGATTTCAACTTATAGTGTATCATACTACAGGCACGAGGTACACTGAATTTAATGTACTAGGTCAAAGCTTAGAGGGTATGCAGATTGTCAGATACATGCTCATTCACATAATGTACTTCTGTTTAACATATACATGTGGGGATGATTACAGATAAAGGTACTATATGATAGTTTAAAAATCTCCACCAAATTTGGAAGCCTCTCTCACCTTGATGTGCTGGGTCACCTTTCCTGAACTGAGCTGCTGCTGTTCTTTGTATGTCCAGGTGGGGCAGTGATTCACCAGCTGCGTCAAAGCAGCAGAAATTTAATCTCTGACATGATGGACACCAGTTTAACTCATTGTCAGGTTTGGCCAGACTGTGGTGTCACTGGGTGAGTGATCATCACTTTGTCATGATGGGGAGGGACCTTTCGTACTGCACTGAAATGGTGGACTCATCAGATGCTCAGTCTTGCTCTGTAGATGTTAAGTATTGACTTTCTCCATAGAAAATGCTGGCAAGGCATCTTTGACTGCTTGCCAGTAATCTGAGTATTGTTGTTATCTGTAATTTGGATGTTAGTCTCTTCTGCTTGTTTGCCAACTGATAACTCAGTTTGCCACCTTTTTGCATGTAGTTCCTGAGTGGCTCTCTTTATTTCATCAAAACCTTGTCAAAAACCAGTATAAATTCTGAGCTGATGAAAACTAAGATTTGTCTTTCATTCCCTTCTGAAGCCAAGCTGGAAATAAATGCTAATATCCAGTAAAGAGGATGCTGTGCTCTTGCCATATTGGAAGCAGCCAAAAAGCCCTCTGCTAAGATAAAATCTCTTTTAGGATTTCTTTTATAGCTCTTGAGGGAATGAGCCTGTATGCACAGCTTTAGTCATGTTTCTGCTCACAAAACTGTTTTGAGGCAGACACTGAACAGGAGACTTTAGCCTGCTTCTTGCTTGAATATACCTAACAGTTTTAGATTTAATGCTGATAATTTTTTTTTAAATGGGATCTCACACATGAGCTTCTTTATACATTTGTAGTATGGTCACTTTTAAGGGAGTTCCTGTGGTTGTCTGTGAGGTGAAGGCTTACCCTTGATGCAGCTGTAGGCCTCAAACAGCTTCTTTGTTTCAGGTTTGCTGTCTTCTCCTTGTTGAGTTCATTGGTTCTCTGGCTGACTTTTCATTATGGGAGCTGACCTTTCAGCCCTGGCCCCTCCCAGCACTTGGGCAGAGGATGCAGCCTCAGCTGGAGGAGCATGGATGCTCAACTGTGTGGATCTTTGTGGTTTTATGTAAGACTGTTAATTCCCTATTCTAGCTGAAAATACTTACAACAAGAGCAGTGACCACCAGTCCTGTGCCAGAGATTTTGCAGAGAAATCAGAGCAGCCCCTGTTTAAGCAAGTTGTACAGATGTTGTGCTCTCATAGCCTGCTGTGTTCTGGCAGCCTGACACGGCTGACACGTGGTGAGCTCTGCACAGTTGCTCTTTATTTCTGTGTTGGTTCCTTGCTTTGGCATAAGCCTGCTTTGTTCTCCAAAGACCTCACACTGCAGTGGCTGCCAGCCTTTCAGGATTGACTTTATCTTTGTTGAACCAGTCAAAGTTCTGCCTGTGGGTTCAGCTTAGGACAACTGCTTTTTTTCATACCCCACTGCCACTGCTTGTTCCTCTCTGTCTCCCAGTCTTTTACTGCTTAAGCAAGTTGGCTGGGCTATAAACTGTGTGATCCTTAATTCTTACAGTGGGAAGGCAGCCCTGGGTTGACCAGAAGGTATACTCTAGCCTGAGCCTAGAGTTGTGTCTATAAGCCCTTCGGGGAAGCATTAAGTAAAGATTGATTTTTAGTTTGCTGTGGATATGGTGCAAGTCAGAAGAAATCTCTTTGTGTTCTTTAAGGCAATGCAGCAATTTCCCTCAGCTTCCACCTGCCCATGTTCTGGTATGGTTGAAGAGGCTTTGTTACTACTTAGTATTCGTCAACAAAGTACAAAAAAATCAACAGAATCTTATGTTTGTTATTAAAGTATTTTCTCTGGGTGCTGATATGCAGCCAGAGAATAATCTAATCTACATTAGAATATAGAATATTTTGATAATCTGTAATCTAATATGTACCAAGACAGAAGGCATTAAGAAACTACCTCTTTGCTATTATTAACATTTTTCTAGATGTATTTATTATTTGATAGGACCCGCACAGGACTTCCAGACCCACTCATCATGAGATGAATGAAGGCAAGAGCCTGATCCAGGAGGATGACTGCTGCTTTTGCAGATACACTCCTGTGACTGCACATGTGCTATTTCTAATGAACTGTGAAGATAAGTTAAATGTTGATGTAACATTTTAAGGAAATATTTTTTTTTCCTATTACATGGCACCTTTAAGCCAAACTTAGAACATCTTTAAGCCAAACTCAGATGACTTTGAAATATATGTCCTATTTGAATCAGTGGAAATGCTTTGAGTATGGCTGGGATGGCATGGGATTCTGGGTGCTATGCTACGGGAGAGGTGAGACAAATAACCTGTATATTACTGGACAGGTTCTTCTGGTCTCAGAACCCAAACTTTTCCTTTTGACACCAAAATGATATATGTCAGGGTAGACTTCTGTTTCTGTAGATTCTTCAGTGCAGGAGAACATAAGCATAAATTTTCACATCTAAACTGTCAAGCCTTAGTTTTATGGTGAAGACTCCAGTGAGTTGAATCAAGCTTGCATCCTTGACAGTTGTTTTGAGGGTCTTTGCAGGTTGGGTCAGAGAGCACAGTATCTGTTACTTGCATTTGAAAAGCTGTGCTGGACTCCATTTTAAAGGTGATTAACACTGCAGTATAAGGTTGCAGGCACAAGGAAAATGTACTGGCTGGTGATGTGACACAGCTTGACTTGGGGACAAAATGGTATCAATATGAAGTAAACAGATAACATGAATCTGACTAGAATTTTTTAGTATGGTTAGGACAGCAGTTGTCAGCTGTGTAGCCATCATTTGAGAGTGGGTTTTTCTTGATACCCCATCGTATTTCAACTTCACATACTGAAGTTGCAATTGCTTTGTGTTTGCTCTGGCCACACACAGTCACAGGGGAAAAGAAGTCCCAAATGAGGGCTTGTGCCTTCAGTAGCACAGTGTGGACAGCCTGCTATGCTGTCTTGATTGAACTGGAATTAGCTGTGACAGTGTTGTTTAGCTTGTAACACAAAACCTTTTCAGAGGTAGTTATTGTAACTACTGTGCTTTCATTATATTATGGCACCCAAAACCAAGTTTGTTGCTCCTCTAAGTAATATTTTAGGAGCCTAATACAAATGACTTTGTCCTTTTGTTTTAAGGAGCAAACATGATAGTTAAGAGCATTCCCTTTGAGGAATTTGGTTTTTTAGCCAGTTACAGGCAGTTACTTGTTGAGGTATTATTCACATATTTTCTTTCTCCATGCTTGAATTCTTCCTTTGTCTTTCTGTTATTGCCAGGAATAAATCTGTGGCTTTTTTGAGATAGAGTTATTTTTTCAGAGCCAAGCTTTGTATCTCACATGAAGTCACCCTGCTTTTCCTTTTATGGCATTGCAGCATCTTTTGGTGGCGTCAGAAAGAGCAGCTTATATAGCTCCATTAACAGATAAACACCATGAACACATGGAGTTGAATAGATCACACTCATGTTTGGATCCATAGGTCTGACCAAGGCCTTGCCTTCTGCCATTCCCATTGCAGGGATTTGGCCTGGTGAGCCACACTTTGTGGCAGGAGTGTTCTGCTTTCCTAGTCACTTGTTTTTCCTGGTTGGCCTTGAATCCTCTTAATTGGTGTATTCAAATTGATATGCTGACTGTAATTGGAGTTTTTTTGTACTAGATATTTTTGAGGCAATAATATACTCTCTTGCCAGCTACTGACAAGGGCATGCTGAAGGAGTTCTTTGGTTTTAGCAAGGAGTGGGAGTGTCTGGTATCTAGAGGACTGGTGAGACTTTGAGCAGTGCAGAACAGAACTCCTTGTTTTGTCTGCAAGGGCATTTTTTGGTCCGGGGAAGAATGGTATTTTGTTCCTCACCCAGTAGCTCTGTCTCCAGTTTGCTTGCCAACTGTACCCTGCTTGCCACCTTGCTAATGTGGTCTGTCACCAATGGCAAGCACAAGGATTAGTCTGGAATTTATTTCTGAAATGACTGTCAGTGACATTGCTAATACTTACCTTTTCTTCTTTGTTTTTAAACTTCACTTAAGTGAGTTGAGTCATTTTTCACCTCTCTGGAATTACTGCTTTGAGCCATGCTCAGACCTAGGTGGGTGGTAGGTCCTGCATTAACATGTGTTCAGTTTACAAAGAAAAAAATGGAGAGGGGAGTTCACAATTACAATGCACAAAGGTTTAAGTCTGTGGTCTTAAGTACACTTAAGTCTACTCTAAACCCCTTCTATGTTGCCAGAATGGTATGTGCCTTCAGTGCAAATAGCAGACAGTGTTAACATTGGAAAAATAAGCATAGTTCTGGAGAACAGTTATGTATGTATGTATAATAAATCACAGTTATACAGTGTCTCGTAGTTTATGTAATCACAGTACACTGGCATCCTGGTCTTTGTTTTCATAAACTTACAGAATCACAGGACGGTTTGGGTTGGAAGGGATTTGGTTTGGGTTTGGTTAAAGATGACGGACAGGGACAACTTCTACTGGATCAGGTTGCCCAAAGCCCTGTCCAGCCTGGCCTTGAACATTGCCAGGGATGAGGCAGCCACGGCTTCTCTTGGCAACCTGTGCCAGTGTCTCATGACCCTTGCAGTAAGGAATTTCTTCCTAATATCTTACCTAAATCTACTCTCTTTCAGCCTAAAGCCATTACCCCTTGTCCTGTCACTACATGCCTTTGTAAAAAGTCCTTCTGCGTATTTCTTGTAGGCCCCCTTTAGGTACTGGAAGGGTGCTCTAAGGGCTCCCTTGAGCATTCTCTTCTCCAGGCTGAATGAGCCAAGCCCTCTCAGCCCTGTCTCCGTAGGAGAGGTGCTCCAACCCTCTGAGCATCTTTGTGGCCTCCTCTGGACTTGCTCAATAAGAAGGTCCATGTCCTTCTTAAGGATGTTTTCTGCTATTACTATAGAAAGGGTGTTTATGTGCATATGCAGAAAGAAAATATGCATGTGTGCTTAAATAGGTGTGTTTCATCCTTAAAATGTTTTAAATAAGTCTTAACCTGTTTGTTTGGTTTTATCTGTCGTGGTGCTCAGAGTGTATGTAAAATGGGTATGTACCTACATTTAAAAATGAGCAAATTGTTTTAAGCTTACACAACCTAACGTCCACTTTCTTTTCTGTCTTACCTAATAGTGATAACCTGCTACGAAGAGCTGCGTGCCAAGAAGCCCAGGTAATACTGTTTAAAGTGATAAAATTAGATTAAAATCTTCATCTTATCTTGGTTGTGCAGGGCTCCTGAGATTTTTCCCAGTGGGCCCTCTCTACGTGACAAGCTTTATAATGATGCCATCTGTGTTCTTTTGTAAAGTGCCAAAGGGTGGATGAGGCCTCTGTCCTGCAGCTGCGTACTGTACGTTTTGTGCCTTGACTGCTGTTGTGATGGACGGTGCAGTGTTACCATTGAGGGAATCTTAGTTACTGCTGTAGCTATGCAGACCTCCATTTCTGCAGGTGTATTCTATTCCTGTAACATTGTGGTATGAAGATGATGTGTTGATGAAACAGGAGACTGAAATCTGCACTACGATGGGTATAGGACAGAAGCGGTGCAACCTGCTTCAGTTTAGTGCTTAGCTGGAGAGACCTTGCCCTTGTCAATTCGATCCTGAGTGACTTTATCAAGGATACTAACTGTGATGGGTGACCCAGCACTTCTGAAAGCTGTGTACTGGGACCTTAATGGAGACAACCCATTTGCTGATTACTGACAAGAAAACTAGTATTCAGAGGGAGTTATTCTCTGAGTATACTGACTTGCATTTTGTAGTTTGTCACTTGTATGGGCAACCAGCAATGAACAAATTCCCATACTGTAGTATTCCCATAAATAAATCTTGTTCTTAATAAGCAGTCTTTCAGGGGCACAAGTGCTTTTGCATGATATTGCATGGATGACATTGCATGGATGACATTGCTGCACAGGTACTGCCTACTTGCTCTGGTTACCTTGGTGCTGTGCTGCAGGATTTTAGGGGTCTTTTTGCCTCCCACAAATAAAGTTTATTCTAAACTTGCTTCTCCGTGCCAGGTCTTAGAGATTTGGCAGGGTGTAACACTGCTCCCATTATTGCTACGTACTGATGCCTGAGAAGAATGGTGAAAATTAGTTTTCTTCTTTCATTGAGATTATCCTGCTTCTGAGGTGCACCTGAATAATCCCAGTTTTAGCCTGCCTGCTGTTGAGGGAAAGATATTCACAGCACCTTAGTGTGGGCAGTAGAATTTCATGCCAGAATAAATGTAAGAATGAGAAATAAATGAAAGAATAAGAAAAAATGTTTCCCTGAAAGTACTGTTTTCATAAATGAAACTTGCAGCTTCCGAATCAAAAGCATTTCCAACTCATACTGTCGTTTGTTCTTGATTGTTATGTTTTTGATACTCATTTTTATTGCATAATATCAAAGTGATGGAAGTTTTTTTATATCACCAGATATAGCAGTTAATACCTCAGTATTGGAAGCATGCTGACCAAATTAAAAAAATATAGAAAAAAAAAAAAAAGCATTGATGAGATCATATATAAGGAGAAGTTCTATAAAGTCCTTATAAAGTCCTAAGTCAGAAAGGTGTAACTGCTAAAGAAAGACTGTTACAAGAAGATAGTTCTGTTGTGGAAATTCTGGCTTTCCTGTTTCTTAATTCCAGCTATTAAGTGATGGGATCTGTTCCAATATGGCTTATTCTCATAAATGAAAGTGCAAAAGCACTGTCAATAAAGCTTCCTGCAGTTTCAGTGGTTAAAGCCTGGGAAAATATTCTGCAGAAGACTCCTGCATTAGACAGGAATGAACCAGAAAGCCTAGTAATCAATTCTTGCTGTAATTTTCATTCTCACTGATGTGACAGGGCCAAATACTGCTTGAAACCGCAGAGCAATGCAGCAGTAAGGCATTAAATGTTTGATACATTCTTTAGAGAAACAACAATCTGTAATTGTTTGAAAAATTGTACTTGCTTTATAGTGCTGTGTAAGTATAGGGGGAAAATAGAGACAGACTCACCCAAGAAAAGGTTTAGTCTGAGTGAAGCAGGGGGGGGTGTCCCTATTATTTTATATCAGATTTCTAAGTTTTTAAGCCTATCACAATACCAAATTAATGAGGTACCCACTTTGCTGCTGAAGTATCTGCTACAGCAGTATTTCATGCAACAATTCCACCATGCATGTCTGAATTTAAATATCAGTTTATGATGACAGCCTTGGGGTGGCAGATGATCATAGAAAGAGTCTATAATAAAGAACCCATTGATCATATCTTAAACCTTTTCCACCTTGCTCTGTGGAATAAGCCAGTGTCAACTGACTGTGGACATCCTCTGCAAATATGACCTCGCTGATTGACCTTGTTGGTGCTGAACTCTGGGCATGTGTTAAAGAGGGCCTGTTTAGCTGAAAATTAATTCACTATCTGAAGCAGGGACAATTTCCTTTAAAGGAACGTAGTTTCTCTGTTAGTTTTCATAAAGCTTTATAAAGCCTTTGTATAAAAGAGTTTTCATAGTTGCAAAATAGTGATTGTCATCTTAAAAGTCCACAATACAATACCTGGAAGTGTGCATTTGACAAGGAAGTGAAAAAGTCATTGACTTTCCTAAATTACACCTTCATATATAGATTTAATAACCATTTTGAATGCTTGGCATTAAGTTGTCTTTCCTTATATTGTGTTCTGAAAAAGAAAATAAAAGGATTTCTAGAATGTTGCATTATTTTTTTATTTCCTGTCTTAAAAATCAGCATTTGCTGGAGCAATGCCCCTGTATGTAACATAAATGTCTAAGTACCTTACATAAAGAGGTGATTATGTCATTACTCATAAATTCTTTATGAGTCTTGTTAGGCTGTTTAAAGCAAGCAAATACAACACATTGTCCCCCACAGACAAATAATTAGTTGTTTCTAACAACTGTAATGGGCTAGACGGGACCCCTATATTTCCCAATGCCTGCCTAATAATTGCAGTAAAAGAAGTTGATCTATTTTTGAGTAAAGGTTAAGAGTTACTGATTTGTTTCCCTTTCTTTGAAGATTCCTTTTCTCTCGGCACCTTCTCTCATCCTTTTTTTGTCTTGAAGAAGAAATGTGAATGTTTTAAGCAACACGGCCAGCTTCATGCTTCTTTTCATTGAGGTTTCCTAAGCAAAGTTGGCAAGTGGAATGGATTAGAAATTTAAACAGCTAACATTGGGTGCAGTGTCCATCTTCTTCAAAATAAAAATTCCTGCTAGGGGGATTAATTTTCAAGATAAACAAAAAAAAAACAGGGACAGTTGCCTGTGTCTTATGTTCAGCGCAGTAGTCTTCTGTTCCTACTTTTTTTCTGGGGCTTCTGGGTGCTGCTGCTGAATATGTTGTCATCATTGCACTCAAAACCAGTTTTAGTGTAGAGGTGAGGATGACTTTAGGTGACTTGAAAGAGGTTTGCTTTCTCTGGTAATTGTCTTTCTTATCTTCAGAAACTTAAGCATAGAAAATACAAAAATGAGCAGAAGAGATCGAAGAAGTGAAGTACAAAAGTGGAAAAAGATGCAGAAAGAAGGTGTCAGGCAGGTGTATGAGAATTACATAAGGAAGGAAAATCAAGTAACCTTCAAGTCAAGGATAGCTCCCTGGATCTGTGCCTATGGCAGAAAACCAGAGGTTGACACAAACAAAATGTTGGTGGATTTATAAAATGAAGAGTACTTGTGACAGTGGTGTGAGCTGTTGATAAGAGGGCAGGTCTTTGAAGTGGAGACCTGTACAATGGCTAAAGATGGAAGTTGTTTGAATGGCATGAGGCTTGAAAGCCCATTCGTGTTTGTAGAGATGCATTCTTTTGAAATGATTTACCAATGTGCTTTAAAGATAAATTGAACTCTGCTTTTCTTCTCTTGCTTAGGTTTTTGGCAACCAGCTGATCCCTTCCAGTATGCCATTGAAGAAAGCAACAGTGTTCCTCAACCCGGCAGCTTGCAAAGGGTAAAATTCCCTGTTCCCTACACTCATACATGAGGCCCTCTTTCTGTATTTTTGTTCTGCCATGCACTTTAAAAGCCAGCCAGATTTTTGAGCTCATTTTTACCTCCCTCTGATGCCAAGCTGGTGCTATGTAAATATGCCAAACTTTATTTCACTGAAAATATTGGGATGAGAAATAGAACTAGATGCTTGAGGTGAAAGAGTGATTTCTAAACCTATGTATATATTTAATTTTTCTTTTATTCTGTGTTTTGGCCTTTGTCATTCCTTCATGTGTGGAATTCTCTCGTATTCCTTCCAAACTTCTGTATGTGATGCATTTCCGGCCTCAAAAACTATAGAAGTAAAGAGATGACCTTGATTGCTTCGAGACTTGAAGTCAGCCAGCAGTGCCCTTACTTCTTTGGGAACCTGTCCTTGAAAAGGGTTGTGTCCACAAACTGAGAGGCTAAATATGGGCTCAGAGCAAGACTTCTGGAAGAGGTCGGCTGCTATTTTTGCATGCTCATTAGCAGAAAAACAGTAATCTTGGATATGCTGTGTGTCTGTTTCTGCTGATCAGCTAAGCTTCATATCGGTTGCATCTTGTGGGAGAGGCAGGGAGTTGGTAGTAATAATATGAAAGGAATAATATATCTTACATGGAAGTGCTTGGACTTACGTGCTTTTGTTCAAAACCCATGACTAGAAAATGCAAATTGTTAATAAATTAAGTCTCTGACTTCTAGACTCATGTTTGCTTGTAAGCAATTTATAGTTAATGGCATAATTGGTTTATTATGCAGTTACAGGCAGAAAATGTATCAGTCCTTTAACAAAACAAGGTCACATAAGATTTTTCTTCTAAACTTACAATATTTAATAGTAAATGGTTTTTAAAAAATGTTTCTGAAAACCTACAGTGAGCTTTCTTTGTGGTTTTAAAGCTTGGTGCTCTGGAAGGCATTAATTTTCTAATAAGTTTCTGGAGATTTTGTTTTGTTTGTTGTTTTTTTTTATATTATTTTTGGAGAAAGCTAGATAACTTCTTCTGCATTTATTAAAACTGCAATAAAAACCTGACATCTGAGTGATGAGTCTAGAAATGTAATACATTTGAACCAAATGAAATCTCATCTTTCCTGACTGGCAGGTTGAGTGACTGATTGTGTAGATTATATGCTCGTTTTTAAGTAGATTTTGTGTTCTTATTAATTTGTTTCTTTCCTTTTTAATTTTTCTTTAGCTACCAGACTAATGGAATGGTTTTTACTCTGTTATTTCTAGCAAAGCCAGAAACCTTTTTGAAGCAAATGCTGCTCCAATTTTGCACTTATCTGGCTTGGATGTAACTGTAGTTAAGGTAAGAAATGATAGGTTTTGCTTATATTGATATATTGTCTGCTCTGCTTTCTTCTCTTGAAGCATTGAAATTAAATTCTGTATTCATTTGAAGTTCTCAGTTGTCCTCTAGACATCTTGTGGGAAGAAATAAATACTGAGTTATTAAGCTGGTACTTAATATTTTTCTTTTTAATTCACAGATAATTTACAAACTGTGTACTGAGTTTTTAATTTTCAGCTAAAGCAGTACACGTGCTTATCTGTCAGTCTAAAGCAGCCCTTCTATAATTCATGTTTGAGAGAAAACTCTCTAAATATTTGTGCTGGCTAGTGGTACGTGCCCATCACTGTTGAAATTGTCCATTCTGCCTGAACTTGCAGAATTCAGAAGCGAGGAACTTTGGTGTGCAGTAGACCTGTTCAGAATAATTAAAAATAACCTTCTATTTTTACACTGAAAATATCTCAGTGTATCCCTAAATAATTTGGCATTTCATCATGAAGGCAGATCGCTGAGCTCTAAATGGTGTGAATTAGCAGGGAGGTTTTCTTTTGAAAAAAGGAAAACAAGTAAACATGAAGGATTCTGATGTTTTTGCAGGTTTTTGAGGCTGTGATATGTGGATTGTTTAACAGTTGCTGTGTCCTAGCAGTGAAGTACTCTAATATGTACCTTTCAGTCTTGGAATCTTTTTCACAAGGTTTAGTGTTAAAATGCTGGTTTTATTAGTGCCTTTCTCTGATCATTGAAAATACATAACCTAATCCTAAGAGAAAAAATTATTTTGCAAGACTTAAACCTGATGCTTTGCAACTTCAGACCCACAAGTTAGCAAAGCAGAGTGGGGCTGGTAACTGGGGCTGAGATATCCCTGTAAAAAACATTGATCTTGCAGAAAACGTTTTTGATGGTTTCAAAAGTCAGTGTACTCTTTATTGCTAAGCCCCTTGTCAACAGCTTGCTGTTGGGAAGCAGCGTTTTATGTAGCTTGTGTTGTGTTTCAGGAGGCACACTTGAGCACTTTGGCTGCTAGAGCATCATTTGTTTCTGTTTTTGTTGCAATGCAAAACTACCTGGAAATAAGATTATGGCTTCAATATTCTAGATCTATTCAATGAGATTTACTCTGATGTTTCATTTAGTCTTTATATGCTTGCACATATTGTATTAGGCAGCAGACTTGTTTTATAAATTGAAGAAATTTCAGTGATTGCAAGTAATGTACAGTATTGTGTGCCTATATGAGAATAACTATTAAGCAAATGGATAGATGATTCTTTTCTTTTTCCTATAGAAAAGAAATCCTAGAAATAGTCACTTAAGTTCTCATGTTTGGATTTCTGTTTCTTCAGACTGATTATGAGGGACAAGCAAAAAAGCTGCTGGAATTGATGGAAAACACAGATCTCATTATTATTGCAGGAGGAGATGGCACGGTACAAGAGGTACTGCAAGAGCTTTGTCCTGGTTTGTTGAGAATCCTAGGCTGAGGGTGAGAAGACTGAGTCTGTTTAATGTAGCAGTATCATAAGAAGTATTACTAGAGATTTGTCCATTTTGCCGTTTGTGTTTTCAGCCAATATTACAGTTTTCTGGGAGCAACTCTGCCAATTGTTAACTAGTCTAAAAGTGATGATGGGAGTAGGGGCAAAAAGAGTATGTGACATAAATATCTTCCAGAATTTTATTATAGAATGAGAAAATTATTTGGGGACATATGGTTTCTGTGTAAGACTTTTTCTTTCTGTGTAATGTAGCTGTAATGGTTTAATTTTCAACATTCATTCCTGTCTGTACTTCCCAAGAGGAATGTGTGTTTTGCTAAGTGGGAATCAAATAATATGAAAATTACCAGGGATTGATGACAAAGCATGGTATGTATCTAATAAACGCCTGTTGTCAAGAGAATGAATGACAGGAACAAACTGGGATACTCTATTTTCCAGGGAGGGCTGGGGGATACTCTATTTTTCAATGAAGGCTGTATTTTATGAAAGCATTTCCTGGGGTGGTGACTACTGATTTCATAAGGCAATGGATAAATGAAATGCAGTAGCGTTAAGAGAAAATGGTTAGAATATATCTGCAAGTTTCTCCTGGCCTTAGAATTGACCAGTGCTAATTTTTGTATTATGCAGAGCACTGTTCAGTGTTTAAACATTTACACTGGCATTGGTTGTGGTACCAGCATATACTCCTGTGTATTCAGAATCCTGTTTCTACCATGTTCATACATTGAACGTGCCTCCTTTCCCATCTAAGCAGCTGTAGTACCTTCCATAAAAGAGAAGCTGCTGCTTAAGTGTTTTCCAAATGGTTAATGAATTTTAGAGGTTTCTGCTGTAACTAAAAAACAGAATTCTCAGAGCAGAGCATTTTGCATGTTTTTCAGGTCATAACTGGACTTCTGCGCAGAGCAGATGAGGTGAGCAAGTGTCATTTTAAAAATGTTATTTATTTATTAGAGGAAGTGTCATGTGCATCCACTTTGATCTTTTGGCCTCAGCTGTCTCCTACAGATAGGTTGCTTACTTATCTGGAGCCAGCTTGCTGGGTAGTAAATCAGCCATGTCAGTGTCCTGCAATTCTGCCCATTGTTCTTCATTCCCTTTCTGGGGGAGTGCAATGGCTCCCAAGCCACAGCTTTGGGAGGTTTCCAGCATCAGACTAGGGTCTATGGAGAAGCCAACTGCACAACTTTCAAAGACCCATGGACCAGCTGTGTGTGCTGCTTTGTTTGGCAGAAGCACTGGGCGAAAGTACATGTTTTTCTTGTACAGGCTTGAAACAGAATTCAGTTATGGCCATGCTCCTATTGCCTTATGATTGTTTTGCTATTTTTTTCAAGGGGTGAATATCTACCTATGCAGATGGCTGCAAAAAGCAAATTTTAACCTCTCAAGGTGGATCACTCCAAATGGAAATGAGATTTTTCTTTTTTAAGAGGGAGGACAGTGTTATTGAGGAAAGAAGGGAATCATTGTTCCCAAAACCTTCTGGCAGGAGCTGGCAAAAACTCAATTAAATGATCCAGACAAGATTATGATGATATCCTTGGCAGCTAGAATTGTATCTGTTTAGGCAGTTGCTTTGTTTGAATGTGACAAGAAAAACTCTGCAGCCAAGACAGACTGTTTAAAGGGGAGCTGGCTATATCAATTCTGAGACATAAATTTTTTAAATTTATTATTATTATAGTTGGCTCCTAAGACTTCTGTCATCTAAAGATCTGGAAGAAAAGTTCTTGAGGCTTTACTGGCTAGTTTTTCATCTTTATTTTCTGACTTTTCTTGGTGAACCTTGGGTTGATTTGCCATAGAGTAGAAAATTCTGCAGCTGGCGCTATTTCTGGTGGAATACTGTGTTGCAGTATTGCCACTGTGTAACTTTATGTCTTTGGCCCGGAAGTTTTTCTTGTCCTTCGTATCAGTCTGTCCTCGGAGTAGGGATCTGCAGTTCAGCCCCCTCACTCTGGCTCTGCTTCCCTTTTGGCTTGGGTATGTCATGCTGCTGTTGCCTGGATAAGAAGAGCCTGTGCAAATGTATTAAAACACTGTTCCTGGCAGCCAGGGGAGCAGAGCATGACTGCATGAGCTGCAGCCATCCTTTCATCTGCACACTGTAAAACTATTGTGAAGAAAATGAGAGAAGGGTGTTTGAGATGTGTGAAGACTTGCAGGTGACACAGAGATAGCAAGGGTGAGCATGAAGTGAGGGGGGTATTACTTAGTCAGTGCAGATTTGCAGTATCATCATGCTGCTAGCAGCAGTGCCCAGGAGGGAGATGGTACATTGTGATATATGGTAGTTTACATTGATTTGCTGACACGCTTCAAGAAGCACAGCTTATTATGAGGTATAGTATAATAAGTTGATCCTTCAACAAGGCCTTTTGCTGAACTATGGTACAGAAAAATAACATGGTCAATGACTTCCGAAAATTAGACCTTCTGCTGCTTCATGATTTGGATGCCTGAGGAATCAGTTAATTTCCTTTCCTTAACTGGGAAAATCTCTTTGCCATGCAAGGTTATTCTATCAGAGGGGGATTTCTGCAATGGTAAATGAGTTTCAGAGCTTGTGATGCCACTGTCAGTATTAAGAAAGATTGCTGACAGAATCCATGCACTAGTTAGGACGTGGCTGCCAACCTGCATGTAACAATGCTCTTAATGGTTACAGAGAGCTCCTTTGTACCCAGTTGGCAGTGGTGGGTTCACAGATTCAGATGCCATGTTCTGAGTCATTACGTATTACTGCCTCATTTAAGGAAGCGCCTGGCTGTGTAGTGCCAACAGGCTGATACCAGACACAGCTGTGATCTCCACACAGGAAGCTTTGTTCAGCTTATGCAAATGTTAATTTGCTCTCCTCATGTGTCCAGGCTGCCTTCAGTAAGATTCCCATAGGATTCATACCTCTTGGAAAGACCAGCACCCTAAGCCACACGCTCTACCCTGAGAACGCAAACCAAGTTGAGTAAGTATTACATGTTTCTGAAAGGGGGCTTTTTGTTTGTTTGTTTTCAAGGAGCAGTGCTCCTTGGTAGCTTGATACTTCGCTTTTTCTTCTATGTTACATAGAGATTGACAGTCTCTGGGCAGAGCCTGATAATTCTCTGGACTTGCCTGAGTTAAGGACTTCCAAAAACTGACTAAAAAGAATGAAATGTATGTATTATGAGAACATTAAATAATCTGCTGTGGCTAGTTTATATGTGACTGTGTGATACTCAGATTGAAAAAAAAATGTTAAAAAGATCAAGCCTCTTAGGAATAGTCAGAAAGGATATGACAAGGGTATGGCAAGGATATGACAAAACAAAACAAAAAGAAGTCCTTTTTCCATTCTTTCTCTAGTTTGAGAATTCTAGAAACCGGTCTGTGTATAACCTATTTAGTGCCTGCAAAGTAAGGCATACAGAAATACCTTCACGGGAAAGGCTGGATCCCATTACTGATTTTTTCAGGGTTTCTTGCCCATCCCTCCGATGGGACTGATGCTGGCAACTCTGCAGCAACCTGAATCTTCTCTATGAGCACCCTATGGGTATGAGCCAATCTGGCAGTATCCTACTGGGCGTGAGCCAGTCTGGCAGTAATTGCAGCCTGCATTTTGGTTTGTTACAAGATTATTTTGTCCACTTCTAAAGTAAAAAGGCCAGTCATCTAATCTTTCTTTTCACCACACTTTGTTTCTTTTCAAGTTTTCCTTTTCTTTCCTCCCATATTAATGAATGTATTTATCCTTGTTCCTGAAGTCTGTTCACTCTGGTTCTCCCATTAACATTCTTCTTTGTGGAACCCTGCTGGTATCCATCACGTGTAAAACCCTGCTTTGAAGCTCAGCAAGATGGACGAGCCTGTAATCAGCAGCTAATATTAAAATAATAATTTATGTTTGGGTTCTAAAGTTTGAAATGAATGATCTCCTTGTCCCAAGGTAATGAACTGTGCAGGTCAGACTGCACAGTGAAGTTGTTGGTGAAGTTGAAAGGAATTCAGTCAACAGACTGCTTAACAATCCACACCAGTAACAAATTCTGACTTAAGTGCAGAAGTGAGATCTTGACAATAAATACTTGGGCTTTGGTTCTTTCAGCATTATCTTACCTTTGGAGTGTAGGAATTGTAGAGGTCTTGCAGAAACTCAAGAGCTAGGAGAAAAGAAGAATTGAGGGAAGAACAGCTTCCTCCTCTGCCTTAGTATTCTAATCCTGATGAAATTAAGGGCAAATTTGGCTAATTCACAGGGATATGAGATTGGATCTGAAAACTGCTTTGTTTTGGTTTGGTTTGGGGTTTTGGTTTCTTTGTGGTTTTTGCCCCTGGCCAGCTGAGACACTGGAAATGTGTGCAAGATGGAATTTAAATTTTACTGAACTTTGAAAACAAGGAAGGGGTTTTAATGAAGTTAATGCCTCAAAAGTCTGGACATAGACTTCTTTATAAACTTGTAGTTACAAAATCTTTAGTACCATGCTTTATGACTTGAAATGAGAAAGTGTCTTAGCTTTGGTCTGCAACTTACGGAGACAAAAACCATATGGGTGCTGCTGGTAGGTAGATTTATGTTGATTAAAACTTCAAAATGAATTAACATACTCAGGCAATTCAATCCCAAATACATGATACTGGTCTCATGACCATTGTCTCCCAGGTTATCATACTTGCCATCAGTAAAATGAAGCCATTGTTCGGGTCCTGAGTGTGGTAAGTATCCAAAATGGCAGATAACACGAGTTAGCATGATGTGCCACATTAGCTGAAGAAGGAGGAATTTCTGAAAAGCTTAGGTGGAGAATTTCCTTTTGCTTTTCAGGTTTTTTGCTGTTCATCGTGTGTTGCAGCCACCCAGTTTGCTGTCTGATTTCACGGAAGTTCTTTGCCAGAGTTCTTTCTCTGGAGTTGTTGTGATTGCTGCAAAAAAAGACCCACATGAACTTGTAGGGGGGTTTGCTGAACAAAAAGTGTAATTTTAAAGCTTACTCTTTTCCTTCCTGTTTGTTTTCCTTTGCTTCTTTCCTGTTTGTTTTGCAGACATATTACTAATGCTACATTGGCCATTTTGAAGGGAGAGACAATTCCACTTGATGTGTTGCAAATCAAGGTAAAAGCATCTGCTCGTTTGGCACCCAGTGTGCCTGAAATTTTCCTGTTCTGTGTTCTGTTTAGGTGGACTGCTTTTCCTCTGTAATGCTGTCATGAATTTTGGTTTATGATATTAGCAATTCTGATGGCAATAATTTCTCCACTGTGTGCAATGATGTCAGATAGTCTAAACTGGAGAAAACACTAGAATGCCTGAAAAATCTTTTCTTGAGGGACAGGCAGTATTGATGAATACAAAACTTAATAACACTGGTATTTCTGTAGAAATGGTGAGAGATAACAATAGCTGTCTGAGCTGATTTAATGCATTCATGTGTATTGTGAAGTTAATAGCTTTCTTTTACAAACTGAAAAATATAAAAAAAAAACACCAGCCTTTAACTATGCCTGTATGGTTTCTGAACATTATTTTTCTGTTATTTTGTAAATGGACACTTCTGCAGCAAGAACTTAGTGTCACTGTGTACAGCTTCTTGCTTTTGGCTGACAGTATCCACAAAGTCACATGGCTGTCGCTGGGTGTGCAGTCAAACTCAAATCAGCCTGTTCAGAACTTCAGATCTTCTGTTTCTCTCTGGGAGCAGACAGAATGTATAATGCTTAAATTCTGCTTAGCTTTATTGCTCTTAGCTACTTATCATACCTGTTCCGTGAAATTTTGGTTTTGGGATTAATCATAAATCAGGTTTTATAGAGAATTTTTTTTTTTCTGGCTGTGAAAAACAGGTGGAAACAAGAGAAAGCCATTTTGCGATGTTTATATTTCTTTACAGGGAGAAAAGGAACAGCCTGTCTTTGCAGTGACTGGTTTAAGATGGGGATCTTACAGAGATGCAGGAATTAAAGCTAGCAAGTAAGAAAATGCTGGGTTTTGAAACTGTACCTTTTTTAGCACCTGCTGCCTAAAAAGACATACCTCCTCTCATAAAGAAGTCATTTTTGAGTGTAGGCATTTGACAGGCAGAGGCACTCACTTGTATTAGGTCTTGCATTACACACATGGGCACGTAAGATATTTCAGCTTTTTTGTCATTTCAAATAAAGCCTTCTTTGGTGCTATCCTGTTCTTTTAAGCATTTACTTTCTGCTTGCCTTGTGGTGCCCACTTCTGAAACTTTATAGAGATTGCATAAGTGGAAAAAGCTCTCCCTTGAGTAAAGTCTAAGTAAAGTAATTGGTCATTGTTTTTCATCAGCGGCCAGTAAAAAGATGCACACAGACTGTAACTCAATTCCAACAAGGGACATCAGATGCAGTAGAAATGCCTTTCAGTTCCTGCCAGAAATGGCATGGACCATGCCGTCTGATGCCTGTTCTCTGAATGCTAAACTAATAATTGTTGGGCTTTCTCCAAATGGACATTTAATATGCCACTGTCTGTGTATCAAATGACTAACATTATCTGGTGTAGGAGCAGCAGGGCTAAAGCAGTTCACTTCTCAAACTGTTAAGGAGGATTTGCAGCACATGCCTCTTCCATGCAGCAGTATCATGTGTTTTGTGAATGAGCTACCTTTGTCTGAAAGCAAGAGGTACCAGACCTGGCAGTAGGTTTGTGAGGTGATGTGGGGTGGGGGGAGTAAATGGTCAGCGTGTTTGTTCATGGGAGGCAAGAGACATTCTTGGTAGCCTGTGTAGGTGCCAACTTAGTTGTGCTGCAGGCTCTCCTGCTAATTACAGCCCCAAGAATAAGGAAGTGCACTTCTCTTCCCTCTCACAGCTTTTTTGCCCATACCCTGCTTTTGCCTACTGTCAGTCTTCACATCTTTTCCTGCAGTAGTTCCCTTTCATAAGAGTCCTTTGGCTTTGGTGCTGGAGGCATGACAGCACCTTTTGTATGTGGGGCATCATGAACATCCTCAAACCTCATTTTCTCCAAGAATTTTCAAATACAGAAGACGTGCCCAGTTGGAAAAGCACTTCAGGCACAAATGAATGGGTGCTCAGAGTGTGCCTGGGACACGAACCATATGTACTTGTCCTGTTTTTTATACTTCTGCTTTTGGTGCCCACAAAGAGATGGGTTATTGGGCTAAATAAACATTGGTGTGTTCCAGTACAATTTATCTTACTCTGAAAAGAAGGCACCTATTACCTAGGGTGTTAACCCATAAGACACAGCTCCAGAAATCCATCTGACTGTCCCTCTGCTAAGCACTGTCCTGGTGCAGACATGCCGCTGGTTTATGTTTTTGAGGTTTTATTAGTTTACAGACAATTTCATAGCTTGATGGGAGGGGTGTGACAGTTGCCTGCCTTATTAATAGTATACTTAGATGTGCAGTACTCTTGAGCTGATGGTGTTTAATGTGCTTTGTTGACCTTCTTTGGTGGAAGACAGTCATCAAAATGTGTGCCAAGCCTGTCTAAATATAGTCACATCTTTAGATTCTATACAATGCTGTAAGGCTGGCAGGATTTTTATTTTGTAAAGCATTCATTTGTCCCAAGGGATTCTCAGATCAAAATCAATATTTGCTGGCTCTGTTCTTTTTTCACTGAAGCTGTTCATTTTTGTTTGTTTGTTTCCTCTAGCCTCATTCTTTATTGCATATTGTGGAGATGCATTCCAACCAGCAGTTAGACCGCAGACCTTTAAATCATTCCCAGTTGTATCATGTAACTAGGTAAAATTCTGCTAGTGAGATGTCATGCTGCCTGTAGTGAAGATTGTATACTGCATTTTGCTGATCTGTAACTTGGGAAAGGGGTGGCGCTGCTAAGCTGTTGGTGATCCGAAATAACATCTTACAGTATTGCAAAGCTGAAGGTGGTAGGGGAGTGCTAACTTCAGAGGCAAACAAGTCTGTGTGATCTGACTTCATGCAAGATTAATCCGTTTCCCAGTATCAACCCCTGGATATTCTAAGGTAGTATTTATGTTCCTTATTTCAGGTACTGGTACCTTGGGCCTCTGAAAACCAAAGCAGCTCACTTTTTCAGTACACTTAAGGTAAAGAGTAATTACTAGGAAAGTGTTTTTGTATTTGAGAAATGGAAAGGCTGACTATGCTTTTTATAGTTTATCTGCAAGTTTTTGGGAAGGATTATGGTAACAATATAAAATGGGAGTGAAATTCAACTTGTTAAAAACTTACCAACTGACAGACTTAACTTCTGAAGAGATGAAGGAGAGGAGGAATACTTAAATAATTTCTTTACTGTAGGATCTGTTGCTGCAAGATCACCAGGGGGAGCCAGTAGCCACCTCTGAAACTGGAGAGCAGTAGTGGTGGTGAAGATAACCATTAAGTGCTCTCTCACCTTTCTCAACAGCCTTTCTTATGATAACATTTCATTCTGATTTATTAGTCTGGCAGAAGTGTCTATAATTAGTCTGCTCATGCATGTTGATAATCAGGCTTTCATGTGTAGTAAAGTGAACATGAGGATTAATAGCTTATATCTCACCTTAAACTTCTCTATTGCTTAAAATTGGTCCTGGAAGGATTAAAATTTGACGTGCATGAAAGGTGAGGCATTTTCATTCACATGCTTTTCCTGGTCTCTGAACATATAAGGAGCCTCATGAAAGGCTGTGGAAATACCCAGGAGCTGGGATGGTAGATCAGACTGTGCAGTCCAGCCGTGCTGTCTGTGATAGTGCCAGTGCTTCCTTTATAGGAAACTTCTGTAAAGGGGAGTTAGATTGTAGTGCATCCATTAAAGACATTTTTTTGTCTTTGCTGCTGTGCACGTCATCTTTTCCGGTTTTGCTGTGGCTGTCCTTTGAAACAGGTTGACCTGTAGCGGAAAACAGTATAAGAGCAAAGTGCTCAACCCTGATATTGGTAGGGACATTGTTATGCTGCTTTTCCCTTTAATCATTAAAACTTATCATTTGTGTATTGCCCTACTGATACAGCCTCTGTTTGTACTGTTTATTATGTGAGTATGATAGGGGAGTCTTTCATTGCTCTCAGAGGTGTGAGGTAAATTCGCTTAACAACCTGTACTATATGATCCAAAACTACTTCCAAAGTTCTGTGTGTAGAAAAACAATTGTATTGAGTACATGCGGGCTCTTGGCTGTGTTGTTTTAGTACCTACATTTAAAAAACAATCATACTTTTCCCTCCATAAGGCCTGTGTTTTGAGCATTTCAGAAGTCATTCAGAAGATGGGAGGAAATAAACTTTGTCAGCACCTGGAAGTATTTTTGGAGCTAAGCCCATCAGTTTCTGGCATGAGAATCTGAAATATCACAGAGAATAATGTGATATTTCCTCCCCCCCCCCAGATGCTTTATAAAGCTCACCTGACTTGCCTTAAGATGTGTTGTATTGCTGTCTATAAGCACCTGACTGTAAGGTCAGATTTTGATTGTTTGAGTTGTTGGAGAACAAAGGCCTGCCAGGTTTTAGTGCCCCTTGGCTGCACACAGCACTGTAATATTTGTTTTTCACTAGACCCCACTGTGTAGTTCTCTTTGAGGTTGCCTTGTGCCATGCAGAAACCAACTGTGCTTTCAAACATTAATGTTGACTTTGCCCGTTTTGGTTGTTCCCTCCAGTTAGCAGCAGCTGTGTCACCCTGCCAAACATCAGCAGCAAGAAAAACATCCCTTTACCTTCTGCTTACAGAGAAAATATGTCTCTGTAAAATTCCTTCTGTGTGGTGAAGGAATAGATTAGTAGACTTGGGAACTGTGGGTAATATTTCTAAGCTGCAAAAAATGTCATCTCATGTATGAATCTGAAGGCTGGAGAGCCATGGGGTAGGCTTGAGGCAGTGGTGGGATCTGGGTACCTCTGCAGGAGTACTTGGGAACACAGAATTAATAGGCTAAAGGACTAAGAAGAATAAACAGGTAGGTGCTAAATAAAAGGCCCTTAATCTTCTGTCTTTTCTTTCCATGTAAATCCAAGGAATGGCCTCAGAAGCATCAGGCTGCTCTCATGTATCTGGGTCCAACTGAGAGACCTCCAGAAGAGCCAGAGGAAAAACTGTCCAGACCTCCTTTGTATGTGAGGCTTTACAGACGACTTCAGTTATACTGGTCCTCTCCTTCAAAAGGTGAGGTGTGTGTAGTTGGGCATAAACTTAAAGGCAGGCTTTACTCTTTTAATAGATCAGAAGAGGAAGGGTTTATGCTTTACTTTTCTGCTTTCTCGTTTTTATACTTGTTGTGGTTATTATTATTTAAAACTGTGACTTTTTCAAGATAGTTACAGTGTTATCTGCCAGAAATAGAGCAGAGCAGAGTAGTCCTGCCACTGCTTCTGGTCTCATAAAGAAAAGTGCATTTGTAAAGAACCCAGGGTGTTTCCTAGGCTCACAGTTGCTTGTCATTGCTATGGAAGCCTCCACAGGTGATACTTGGCACTTATGAGTGAGCTTCTTGAAATCTTCCTCCCACAGAATGACTTCTTAGTCAGCTGTTGAGAGAGAAGCAGCCCTTGTTTTCCAAGGTGGGGGAGTTGCAGACACAGAGCAACAAATGTTTCTTAAAATAGAACAATGAAACTTGGGCCATGCAGAAGCCTTAAGTGTCTTCACATTTCTTCCTGTACCATAAATTTTCTTCTGTGTGCTCTGGCAGCCTCTCTTGGGTTGGGTTTCCAGCTAGGCAGTGAGTACGGCAGTCTGCTGAAGGAAAAGGACTGTGTATTTTGCATAATCTGGTGTGATGCAAAGTCCTTCTCATTCCTTCTTGGCTAGCAGAGGTGATTTAGATGGAAGCATGGGCTAAGTGACCCATATATGAGAACTGAACCGTGGAGTTTCCTCCCATAGAAAATATATGTTACCACAGCATCCTGGATATTGTATTCTGTTTGATTTTCTTAGCAGCACTTCATGTGTTTTCTAAATGTTCTCACAATACTAGTCCAGGAGACCTGGGTTAATCCCGTGCCATAAGGACTCACAGAGCTGCTGTATAATGTGATTAATATTCTTTTCTACTGCTGTGTGAATGCTGGTGGTATTTTTTTTTTTCTTCAGTACTCCCAAGCTCCTTTTTTAAAGACTTTGACGTCTGAAAGAAACAACAGTAGCGGTCACAATGGGTCAGAGTGATTTTTTGCAGCTGGCATTGATGTTTCATGCTTCATAGCAGTGAAATAATGATCTGTGTAATTAAATTCCACTTAATGATACCTTCTTTTCTTGATTCGCAGAAATCCCCCAGGAGGTAGCCCTGGAGGACTGGGAAGAGCTGAAGTTGTCCACTGTTGAGCTTTCCATTGCAACTCGGAACAGGCAGCTTGATCTGACAGTAAGACCATAGTATAACTGGATTCCAGGTGCTGCCTTCCCACACAGCTTTCCTTTCTTACTAAAGTACCATTCTTGTGTCTATGTAAACAAAACTTACTACCACATGCAGGAGGGGCCCGGGACTGAATCCAGAAATGGGCGAGTTTCAGAGTCAGTGAAAAAGCACTGGAGACCTGTGTAAAATGGAAATGGAAGAATTACACAACAAGGAGGTTCCACTATCCAAACAGAAGCTTAGGTTGCTGTGAAAGCTATTTGGATAGGTATCAGTCTTTAGTTTTACTGGAAAATGCTAACACAGTGGTCCCGTAGTGGTGAGCTGCTCTTCATGTCTTCCTCATGGCTGCAGGAAGCCACTGCCACTGCACCCACATTAACAGGAGATGCTGAACTTACTGAAGCATGTTTCTGGCTCAGAATTCTGTGTCTTTAGGAACCTGAAAATTTGTGTTATATTGATACATTGTCTTTGTGGGATCAGACAAAAAAAAAACCAGGCAAATCTTAAAATGTCCTCCTGTTTTCTCTTAGAATGTACCACGTAAATTTTAGTTTCTTCATCAGTGGCTTATGATTTGGATCACAAATATGTTAGTAATGGTAGAAGCTAGACAGAGATTAGTATTGGGTTTTGCAGTGTTTTCTAGATGGCACTTCAACACAACAGTTTTGGTCACTGACTTGGAGTGGAGTCAGTGATGTGAAGTAAAAACAGGCCTGCCAAGAAATGGGGGAGTATCCTATTGCCACAGACTAGCCCTTACATCCTTTTATTTTTCTTTTATGCCTTCAAGATAACCTTAAATACTGGTATTGAACAAATAAGTGGTGTGGGGTTCTCTTGCATATCCTAGAGAAATGGACAAGTTTATGTTAGGGGCGTTGTACTTTTCTGTTTCTAGGGCTGGAAATATCTTGATGCTGCATCTTTTTTTCTACAGATGTGGACTCCTTTTAACTTCCGCTTGTGAAGCCATTGTCCCTGTAGCCATCTAAGCTGAACAACAGCTTTCTAATCAATACCAGGGCATGTCTGCTGAGTATTGTCAGACTCCTGTCTCTGTCTCACCTCAGATTCATTATTAGGCTGCCCTGTTGAAGAGAAGCTGGTAAAGGCATACAGGTGCAGCTCAGGCAGTGCCAAGACTACCTCTGCAGATACAGCAGAGAAATAAAACAAGTTCTACTAATAGATGCATTTACCCTTACTTCTGTCATTTGATTGCATCTGCACTAGGACTTTTGCCAGGACAGAAGTGTTGAAATAAATAAAAAATGAATTGTATCTTAATCTGAGTTGCTTTCCTGGCAAAAGCATTACTGTATACTTGGCTTAAGGACAGGTTGTAAATAGAAAAGAAGCTAAGTAAGGAGTTTCAAGGAATGATATCAAGAACACTTTGACTTCCAATTTACATTGTTTAAAATTCTCTTACTGAAGTGTTTGGTGGCTAAATGTTGCATCATTGTACTATTGCTTAAATTCATGAAAGACCCATTGATTAGAAATCTTTGTGAACATAAGTTAACCCAAGTGATGTGCTAATTACTGTCTTTAATAAGTGTGAAGTGTAACAAGAAACCAAATGTGTGAATCATTTCACTTGTGGTATTTATTTTTGAATAGTCATCAATGAGAAATGACTACTTACAATTTATAACCCAAATCTCGAGAATGGAAAAAAGCATAAAATGCATCTTCTGCCTCCTTTTGGGACAAACGACTGGGCATTGTGTGAACATATTGCAGTATCATGGGTGTGGTACTTTGAAATGTTAACTGCTTGATTTCTGAATGTGTTTTCTTTGCACAGCGCACAGAAGACTTCATGGATATTTGCATTGAAGCGGATACTGTCAGCAAAGGGCAGTTTGTAAGCAGAGGGTGAGTATGGGAAGGCTGCAAAAAGATGACACTATCTCTGTATGACTTGGAACACTAATTCTAGAAAGTGTGCTGTTTTTCCTCTAATCTTGTGCTGCAAAATTCAGAAGCAGAGGACTACAAAGGACACCCATCAGTAATGCTTCGTAGGGATTACTGAGTATGTTCTTTAAAATTCTTACTACTTTTTCTTTCTGGAAACAAGGCAGAGAAGTCTGCCTTGGTTCTTCCTCGCCTCTGAGTTTGATATACCTTTAATCTTTTTCCCCATTGCTATTGATCAGTGGTACTTCGATAATACTGTCATAACCAAGTTTTATAGAAAGCCACAGAGACTTATCCCCAGCATCCTTCAGCCTTAGCTGCTCAGTGGGTTGAAAGGCGGGTCACAGAGCTCATGTGTTTGTACCAGTGGTGCCCAGAATTTTGAACCTTGATTAGATAGTCCCTGCTTCTAAGTGAAGAGCTCCCTTGATTCGTAACCCTTATGAGAAATTAGGTCTGAGCTGGAAGAACTTTTGAAAGATACGAATTTCAACAGGGACTTTAAGCAAATATATTGGTACTGCTTGTATGTGGAGTAAGAAGGCTGCAGGTATGAAGTGGTAGAATGTAGAGAAAGAAAAAGCAAACGTATTGCTACCTTTGTGCTTGGATGTTATCTCATAGCGCACTTGTTCCCCCTGCTCTCACTGAATACAAATATGAGCTGCTTTTTCAAGCTTCTCTGTACAGTCCCCGTAGCAAATACATTGCATCTTCAGTGCAGTTTTTGCCAGCACCAGATTTTCCAACTAAATCAGAGTGCTCTTTTGCATGTTACTTTTTTTATTTACTAATACCGTTTTCTAATCCTAGAGCTCCATCTAGTGAAATCAATGGAGATTTCAACATAGTTTTACTTGTCATCCCCCTGATAATTCCTGCATTATGTCCTGTATATGATGTTGATAGCAACAGCAGGCTTCTTACTGAGCATTCCATGAGCCTCGGTGGGTATAGGATCTTCTGAGCTACGCATACCCAATAGGTCACGTTACCACATGCAACTGCTTCTAAATTGCGTGAGCCATGTGGACCATAGGTTACTTGGAACTGAAATTTTTGTTTTGAAGGCCAGAGAAGGAAAGGAGATGTCCCATTAACAGCAACAGGAATCTGGCTTCTTAAAGGAGGGGAGGCAAAGGAGGTGCTATGCTGGGATGTGGATGAATCTGTGGGACTTAAGGGAGGAGTATTTGAGTGTACACCCACTATAAAGAATGTCTCCTGTGTGGACTGGGCATGCTTCATGCAGTAGTATGTCACATTTTCTGGCTGGAAGTGCACTGTCATGCAGAAAAAAGCCTCTGCTGAGGGTTAATGTGCCCTGTTGGCTGGAGCTAATTAGAGGCAGTACCAAAGGCTTTGAGCTGCTGTTCAAGCGAAGTTCAAAGAAACAAGCTCTTTTGATTAAAGTATCCAAAAGTGTGTTGATAACAAAGAAAGAGTGGTGTATGGGGTAGAGGAGCAGCAGGAGGGACTGGTTAGTCCTACAGAGAGGGGTCAGAATTCACCCTGTTTTTGCAAGGCGAAATTGGGGTGTTCAGAAATGCTCTTCACCATATAATGCCCTTGGGCAGCTGGGTTTGAATCAAGCCCATTGTGAAAGGTTTCCCATTGCTTAGCACCAAGTTTGTCTTTGGAAATGTGTGAAGAAGCTCTTTATTTTTTCTTCTTTTAAAATGCATAAACTCCAACAGAATTTGGGGGGGTGGCAAGGTTTTTAGGAAAAATGCCTTATCAGTGCAGATATTGAGGGTATTTTTTTTTCATATTGAAGAGGGCACTGACAAGAGCTGAGCAGAACTGATGATCAGAGAGAGGAAACAACATATCCAGCCGGAAACTGCTGTGCAGTGTGTGTGTGTGGGGGGATGCATCAGAGTGCTGGAGAGCAACTGCTGTTGGATTTCAGAGAAAGGAGTAGATCATCCCAGGTGTATAGAAGTGCCCTCTGGCTGTGGATGAGGTTTGTGTGAACAAGAGCATCTGCAGAAGGGGTGGAGCTGATGTTTAAGATAAGGTGGGAGAAGAACAGGTAGTGTCAGGCGTTGGTGGTATAGTGGTTAGCATAGCTGCCTTCCAAGCAGTTGACCCGGGTTCGATTCCCGGCCAACGCAGAGTTTTGTTCTTTTTCCACTGAATTACATCATCCTAGCTGAGATCATAAAGCACATGCAGGAAAACGGGGTGATCAGGCCCAGTCAGCATGGGTTCATGAAGGGCAGGTCCTGCTTGACCAGCCTGATCTTCTATGACAGCGTGACCTGCCTGGTTGATGAAGGCAAGGCTGTGGACATTGTCTATTTGGATTTTGGTAACGTATTTGACACTGTCTCCCACAGTGTCCTCTTGGAGAAACTGGCTGCTCATGGCCTGGATAGATGTGTTCTTCACTGTGTTGGAAACTGGCTGGATGGCTGAGCCCAAAGAGTGGTTGTAAATGTCACATCTAGCTGGCAACCGGTCATTAGGTGTCCCTCAGGGCTCAGTGTTAGGGCCAGTGTTGTTTAATAACTTCACTGATGATCTGGATGAGGGGATCGAGTGCACCCTCAGTAAATTTGTGGATGACACCAAGTTGTCTGGGAGTGTTGATCTGCTGGAAGGTAGGAAGGTTCTGCAGAGGGATCTGCACAGGCTGGATTGATGGGCTGTGGCCAATGGTATGAGGTTCAGCAAGGCAAAGTGCTAGGTCCTGCACCTGGGCCACAACAACCCCATGCAGTGCTACAGGCTGGTAGAAGAGTGACTGGAAAGCTGCTCAGCAAAAAAAGCCATGAACACCGCCAAGGATGGGGCAGCCACAACTTCTCTGGGCAGCCTGTTCCAGTGTCACCACCCTTATAGTAAAGGATCAAATGGAAATAAAAGAATCAAATGGAAATTATTTCTGATCCTTCTGTACTGAGTCACTAGAGAGGCAATCACTGCAACTGGAGTTGTGTCTGTTTGCTTCTCCCTTTGGCTGATCTTTAATTCCATGTCTTGTGGTTTTGAGCTTACCTTGACCCTATAATTGCATAAGTATAGAGCCTTACTTACCCTTGTGAATCAAACCCATCTACTTGCTCATCAAAGTGCAATATGAAAGGCCTTGTTTGTTAAACTTTTAGTAGGTTAAGCTTTATGTGGGGAATCTTGCTGCTTGTTTGTACAGCACTGTATAAACTGACAGTATTGCATGCCATCAATGATTTATAATTTATATTGCCAGGAGGATGTTTAATTCCCTCATATTCACTCATTAATCTTTTACTATATATGTATTTGATTAAAGCCAAATTTTCCACGCTTAATCCGGCTTCTGTCCTTCTCTGCCCTTTCCTTTGGTATCTTAACCTTTCTTCCTTCATCTTTGTTTATCATCTCTTGCTTCAACCCTCTCTTCTCATGTTGTTTCTTTAAGGGGTGCTTGCATTCCTCAGGGCATAGGTAGCTTGGTGTATTGAGAGAGTGCTTGAGAGCTGTGATGTATTAATGCTGTACCTCTGCTGTCCCCTCTGGTACTACTTGTTTGCTGCTGTGTTTTGGGAGAGGGACCCAAACTGAAGGGTTACTGCCTGGGGTGTGGTGTCCCCTTTGTCAAAGGTCAGCCAAAAGGTTATGTGTGTTTTCAGTCAGGAGGCCGGAGGTAGGTCAGCATACCCAAGAGCTTGTGCTTACTCTGCAGCAGCACACATTGATCTCTAAACAGTTTGTCCAGTGACAGGACAGCAACTTAAGTCTTGAAAAAGACCATGTGGCACTTGCACCACCAGCTTTCTAAGACAGGCATCTGCCTTTGCACTTCAATTTAACATCTACAGAAATGGGAGAGTAGCACTTCTCTAAGTATAGTACATAAATAAGAATTTCACAGGTACCAGAAGAGACAAAGACAAAACCAGATAGATCATTTGGAGTGTATAAAATTATGATTTTTTGGGGGGGTTCTTCACATGGAATAATATAAAAGCAGCTCATAAGAAATGTTATGCTGACTGGTGTTGATGTGAGATGAGGGTTCTTTGGGGTTTAGATGGTAATTTAGTGGTTCAATTTAACTATAATTCTATCTGGGTTTTTTGGCTTAGGGTTGTTTAGGTTGCTGATAAGTCATGTGGCTGCATGGGATATGAGGAGTTGATAGTCACTGCAGGAATTGCAGAGTTCAGCATTTAAGTGAGGAATGCAAACTGTGCTGTATGTTCAAATATACAAAACTGTGTTCAAATACATTCAGTGAGCCTCAGAGCAGAAGTGGGTTGGAGGCTGTCAGTGCATACCGATATGTATTGACTGCAGCAGAATAGGGAATGTCTATTTTCCTTTCTCACATTTAAACCCACAAATATTTGTATAGACACATAACCTCCAAATTTACCAGATGCGCAGATTTACCAACCCACAGTAACATGTGATTCCTAAAGATGGCTGTTTCCAAGAGAAACATCTCCTAACATCACCTCTCTTTTGGTTTGAACAGAAGTCAAAAGATGCATGATCCACATATGTGCCCTGAAGGGAGTCAGTGCATCCAAGCCAGCAGATGCATCTTGCAACTTCCAGAGGTGAGAAGCTGAGCGAGCTGGAAAACTGTCCCGTTATTTCATCATACCAGTTGATGCTACACATAAGGAAATCCCTACTCCAAATCTGGAAGGTTGATTACACTGCCAGTAAGACACTCAGTTCCTCAGTGCAGCATCTAAGTCTCTAGCCAGGAGACATGTACTGGAATTTCCCAGTAGCCTGAGTCAAGTGCATGCCAAGCAGTCACCAGATTTGTTCTTAGGTAAAGTCAACCTGCCATTTTTGACAAATAGTTCTAATCATTGGTGACTTTATCAGCATTAAAGAAAACACGAAAATTCTACTGCTGAGTAATTCCTGAGCCATGAATTACTTTGCATCTCACATTCAGATCGATATAGTAAAAGAATACCAAAAGATGTTTGTAACTCGGGTTTAATAGGAGTTATTTAACAGGCACTCCTGCAGATTAGCTTGTGTCACCACTGGCAGACCAAGATGTAAGTGCATATAATTGTGATTCCAATAGCAAAGAATCCTTCAGTATAAACAATGTGGGTCATTAAGGCTCCCTAGCATTTAATTACCACCAGTTAGCAACTAAGTGAGGTAACATCTTATGCAACAGATTCTGAATCTGTTATGTGAAGAATAGCCCTCACTGCGTTGTTGGGACCAAACGGGCTGGAAGGCATAGGGAGGGGGTCATCTTGGTGTTAGATAGTTATTCAGCTGAGTTGATCAGTAAAACCAGGTATCAGCATTACAGCATTGCTGCAATAATGTGTTTGATGTTTAACCCTGCTCACACTGTTATCTATACACAGGGCACTGAGGGATCCTTTGGCATTGATAACGAGGAGTATGAAGCTATGCCTGTAGAGGTGAAGCTATTACCCCGGAAACTCCGGTTCATCTGTGATCCCAGAATGAGAGAGCAGACGCTCCGTGCAGCAGTACAATGAGAATTCATGTCAAAGGGGCCAGTGTTTACCAGTCTTATTGGGGTCTCTTCAAGGCACACAAGACCTTGCTAACTTGATTACCCCCACCAGACTAATAAGTCTGTTTGTCTGTATAGCCATTTGGCTATTTTTATGTGGGAGGCATTTCCATTGGAAGCAGCTGATTTGGCTGGTCTCAGAGGGGTAAAAAATGCAAATGAGAATTCTGAGAAATGCATGTTAATTTGATGATAGCTTTTTTTTTTTTTTTCCCCAGAGAAGCCATCAGCAGTCATTTACAGCACTGCAGGCTGAGTGCTGTGTGCCAGATGCTACTGCTTTAATGCGATTGTATATTAAAAGTAAAATGAAAGCACACTTGTCCTTGTTTTAGGAGGTGAAGTCTACTTTAGTTACCTATGTATAAACCTTGCAAAACCATGGATCTTGGAAAAAAATTATTTTTGGATAGTAATACTAAGGAAGTCTATGAAACATTGGAGTTGCTACATTAAAAGAGTTGGTTATCTGCTCTGTCACAAAATAAACTGGAAATTGATCGGGGATTCAAAGCTTCAGAGGAAGTTTTTAAGTCCTATATGTACCTGGGTAAGATACGTTATTTTTCTTCCATCTTGCCAGATACAACAGCACAGCGTTCCAGTTAATAATATAGTAGAAATCTATTCCTTTGTTCAAGTTCAGGTACATTACAGAGCAGGAAATTGGAAAATGTCATCATTGACCCAAAGCTGTATCAAGCACATGTTTTAACAAGCCAAATGAGTCTGGGTTTTTTGTAAGTATTCCTTTTATTCCCATAGTAGAATAACACAAATAAGGGCATCCAAATAACTTCTATTGTTCATTGTGTCTGGTTGCTATTCTGTAATGTAAACAGTGCTCACCATTTCTTACACAATCTACATCCCCTTGAGCCTCAGTACTGTAATTAGTTCTGTTGCTTTTCCAAGTTTTTGTTTATAGCTTTGCTTTAACTGCTGAAACATTATTGACTTAGGCAAGGTTATCTGTTGCTCATTTTATTACAATTTACAAGTTTACATGATTCTGCTTTGCTTACTGGAAGAAAAAAAAATGGGTTCTTACTTTTCTGATGTGACTGTTGCTTGTACGTAGTCCCTGTGTTACGCTGTGATCTAGTCTAACTTCATCTGTTGATTCTTTGCTGTAATCAAAATAAGGCCATTAGCGAATTGCAGCTTTGTTAGACTGCATCCTGGGTGCTGCAGCAGCATCCTCTGCTGGAGACTTGCTGAAGGAAAAATGCTTTGCAAGGTGAGATAGGGTTGTTTTTTCCACAGGATGCTGAAACCAAACTGAATGCTGTCCTACCCTTGGCTATATGGCAGAAAAACTAATTACCTCAGCTACTGGGCAAGCACTCATCCCTTTCTTGACTAAGATCTAATAGGATAGAAGCCTGCTAGTTCTTTTTAATAGTTATGCTGGTGATAGGGCCCCCAAGTTGTGCTTTCGATCTGCAGCAGTTAAGGGTGCTCAGTGGACCCCCTGGGTCACTCTCCAAGGAGTATGTTGGCTGTGCGACAGAGACACTTGGAAGGTTGCTCTGCAGCCACTGACTCCTTCAGAGTCAGAGGCAGTTCTCACCTTACTGAAGTTTTCCTCAAGCTGATGCTTCTCTAATAAAATCAGCAATGTTGTTTTTATTTCTCTCAAGTGGCAGGACAGAAAGGCAGCAGCCATTTCAAAAACATACACTTTAATTGTATTAAAAAATACCCATATTTTAGTAAGCAGTTTCTCCTCACAGCCACAGCCCTATTGAAGCAGCCACACATCTGCAAGATGCAGACAACATCAGAACTGTTATAACTACAACCAGCCTGCTGCAAGAGGTGAGATGGTAAGAACTAGCTTCTGGTTCATCTCTACCATTTTACAGGGAAAACAACTAATTCTCTTCCACAGTATCAGACGCATGGCTCCCACTGCAATGTTGATTCTTTGCTTGAGGATAACCGAGAGCTCCCTTCAGAACTGGTATTGTTAAAATACCAGTTAACTGATGTTAAAGTACTAAAGATCATCTGAGACACAGGCTGATAATTAAATATTCAGGTCAGCATAGGTTGAGTAGCTTGTATAAATACCATTCAAGTCATTTTTTTCCCCCCTCCTCTATAGTTCAAAGGCCTTCCACTGTGAGGTGGTTCTAGACCTCTGAATTGCAACATTGAGAGGGGGGTTTGTGAGGCAAACATTAAATAAAATAAGCAGGGTCTGAACCTGCTATCTGCAGTGCTGAGGAAAGGGCTCAGTTCTCATGTTTCTGTCTGACAGCAAGACAAACATCGTATAAACTCCAAGACAGGAAGGAGGAGTAGAATCCTAGGTCCCACTCTTGAAAATGCTTATCCTGGCTTCAACTTACAGTCCATTCTAGAAGGGCTTTGAATACTGTAACATAAATAAAAAGGAAGGATAACAACTTAAGGATGGACAGCCCAAGGCACCTGTTTATTTTAACCACAATTAAACACTCCCATTTGAATGGCATGTTGCATTAACCAGGACATGAAATCCTGACCCACAGGCATTTAACGCCCTCTGTTTTAGACAGATATATCATTCTGTTAAGTCAGTACATCCCAGTCCTTTGCAAAAGACATTTATGTTAGAAGATAACATAATCAGTAGGCAGGGATAGAGACAACAATCAACTTACTTAGAAGTAACAGCTAGGATGAGAGAATTTGGGTTAGTGTGCATACTTTGTACCTAGACTGCTGCATTAGGACAGAGTGCTCTTGCTCTACGATTCCAGAAACTGCTGCCTTTCTATGTCTTGAAGCAAAACATGCCTGTCCCTTGTATAGCCTGTCCCCAGGAAGGCCATAACTACTCCTACCTTTTGCCCATTAAATTTGGCAGTTTTTAAAACTGGAAGCAGTATCACAGTAACTGCTTTACAGAATATACTGTAGAATAAGCTGCTTTCTCTTGAAAAGGTGATGGAACTTTCTTCTGCCCTTAACGATGCTGGATAGGTGAGCTTATCTCCTGTGACAGACATGAGCATTGGTGCTAACATACATTGGAGTAATTACTTCATATATACTAGAAAAGAAGTCTCTAAGCCAAATCTAAACTCAATTCAGTAAAATGCCTTTCTCGTAGTATCCATTCTAGTTCTTAGTTGTACTTGGCTCTATGCAGCTTGTCCTAACCATGCAGTGAGAAGACTTTTGCATGTTTTCAGTGTCTGATATGGTATCCCTTGTTCAGACTGAAAATCTAGTTTTTATTTCTCTCACGCTTTATGCTCCAATTGAGATAGTACAAGTAGTAATAATTCATTGCTTCTTATTATACATTTCTAGTGCAACTTGAGTTAACATGCAGTTATGAAGCTCTTGCTCTGCTGTTTAAACTCAAGTGAGTACCAACTGAGAACCTGCAGTGGCTATACTATGCCTTGGGTGTTTGTTAGAGAGGAACATTCCAGGTTCTGTCTACCAGGGCACAGGATATACCTGGTTACAGTAACCACCATTCAACCTGGGCTCTGATCACAAGCAATTGACCAGAGGCCTCACACCACAGAAACTGAAGGCACCACTGTAAAGGCAAAGTATGGAGAAGAAGATTTTATGGCAATAAGCTATACCCTACCTCATGCCACACTTTTCTGCCTCTTTTAATTCAAAACACACTCAGTAACTGCCTTCCTTCCAGCTGCTAGTATTCAAAAGAGCAAGTATTAAGTGCCAAGGAGGGGATTTTAAATGTCTGCACTTAACTGTTCTACCTCGAATTATGTCATCTCCTGGAAAGGTAAGATTCAGTTAAATTGGTTCCAGACGAAACCAGCCTGCTGAACAAGCCATCAGGTCCCAAGCTGTAGCTATTTGTTTGTATTATGTACCCATTTATCAAGGATTTTTTTTCCACATGTGACAGCACCAACAGCAGTGTCTGTTAGAAAAGGAGAGTGCAGGTGGAAAGTTCTGCAGCAAATTAAACAAGGAAGGATGAGGAGAGAGAAATCATCTTCTTGTTTTCTGTCTGGCAACTTCCTGATTTTTGTAGCGGTCACCTGCCAAGAGAGGCTGTAGAGAAGCAGTGTTACAAAGAAGAGCAAAACAGGCTGTAGTCACCCAGACAGGATGTAGCATGAATGCTACTTTTACAATAACCTGCTTGGTTTGATGTTTCTGCACCCACACTCCTGCCAGCAGCTGAAGACCTAGTTTCTGGAAAGCAGAAGTTTAATAAATGTCAAATAGTAATTTCATGAGACTCAGCTCAGCTCTCTAAGCTCTTAGCAGTGCTATCTAGTAGACCTGATGTTCTGACAGCTTGTGAACAGAGTGCTCTAATGCAAGTTGTTAGAAAGCCTCCGGCTGCAAAGGCTGTAAAATTTCAATGACAAAGGTTTGTTTCTAGTTAGTTCAGCAAAAGAAGACTGACATCAAAGAGAACGGAAAGTCATTAACAGCTGACCACAGCTCAACTATGTAGCAAACCTTCAAGAAAGTGAGAGGAAGAATTGCTAGTTTCAGTTCCTTTTTTTTGTATCTGAGGGAAATCAAGTAAGTGACAGCTACACTTCCTCATGTATGTTCATGTTCACTGCAGACAGCATGTTACAACTGAAGTGGAGGTTAGGAAAAAAAACATGGAGACTGTGGCTCACTTTTATACTAGAGGTGCCAATTTAAAACCAAAGCCTTTTGTTAAGGAAAAGAGACCAATCTTTGCATTAAATGATACTCAGCTCTGGTTTTCTCTCTTTCTCAATTTCTTCCCCTTTTTCTCCCTTTTCCCCCCAACCTTCTAAGGATGATAACATTAGAGCTGTGAGCAACTGGCAATACAAGCAGTAGCACGTTTTATCCTGTAACACCCAAAACCATCTAAAGCCCTGAAAAAGCTGGCAGGGGAGTGACTGCTCGGAGACGGGCAGATCACAGGAACAGAATATGCTGAAGCTTGTACCAAGAACTGTGCAAAAAGCCTGGTGAGGCCCCCAATTCCCCATGGCACTAAAACCTCTGAATCCACAGCAAGCAAAACTACCCCTTTGCTGCTGACAGCCTTCAAGAAAAAACAGGCCATGCCAGCCTCCTTCCTTCCAGAGGGAGACAAGCCACAGAGAGTCTACAAAATGGTAGGATAAATGGATACGTCAGCTACAGTTTACATTCCTGCAAACCACTGAAAGCCTCCAAGGGTGCTGAAGTCCATTATGGTAGAAGCAGCAGCTAATTAACTATAGCCAAAGTTCAGGAAGAACAGTTAGCTTAAAGCTGATGCTTCTACTGACTAAAGGATTTGGGGCAAAGCAGGATGTCACACCTAAAACCCACAGTACCATTCTTGGATTTCACACGGCAAAGGGATTACTCTTTACTGGGATAGCTTTCGTGGAGGTAACCACTGGTCCTGCATGAACTGAATCCTACTCTTTCCACAGCACAAGAAGAAAACACTGTTCTTATGGTTCTACTGCTTCTCTCTCCAGGAAAAAAAAAGGTTTGCTGTTAGACACTGCAGCTGTGCCAGTTAAGAACACCAAACTCAAAGGGAACTTCCTGCAAACTGTGAAGGCACTCTGCATCACACTGAAAGCCAAGGACAGCTGCAGGCAGTGCTGAAGACTGCCTGACAAAAAGTGGATCAGCAGACAGTTTTAAAGCAAAGGAGTGACAAGTACCATGTGCTACAAAGGAAGGGCTAGTGACATTAGTTAAAGCATACTTATTCAACCCAGTCCAGCCCAGCGCCATCCGAACTGAGGCTGGAGAACATACTGACTGCAAGGTGGCTCAGTGATATTGGTCCCTCTTAAATGGGAGACCATCTTGCTAGTTTGAAGATTTTAAACCAAAGCAGCAGGTGTGATGCAACTGAAGACCAGAAGAAGTGGTAGGAGGGATCATGTAGAGATGGTGCTCTTCTCCAGCTATGAGATAGGGTAGGTGTAGTCATTGCCAGTTTATACCACTTCAGATGCTGGAAGTGAAACCGTGCCACTCTGGCAAGCAAAGTCATAAGGTCCTGTAGCACCCCCTTATTCCAAACTTGCTTCTGCCACTGATGAGGACGGGTAGCTTTATTCCAACTCAACTGCTAGAAGCTGGTGAGGAGTGCTTAAAGGAGTCCTAGTTTTTATCATTGGCTTAACTGTCCCCACCAATAAACATGGTAGGACAGATGTTTTATGAGACTGAGTTGTGCTGAAGCTCTCTTCAGTCCCCAGGTGGAAGAGGGGATGATAGGAGGGTTTTCCAGTCAAGGCTTGAGAGCTCAGTTACAGCAGTTCACATTGGTCCCTATCAGACAAAGTGCTTTCCTGAAGCCTTAAGCCCTCAGGTATCCAAGCTAGGCCAAACCCTAGCTATCACTGGCAACAGCAAAGATTGCTGCAAACATGCCCCTGGTCCTATCTAAATAAAAAAAAAAAAAACAACAAAAAACACAGATGAAAGAGAAAGGAAGACAAAACCGAATACCAAACAAAACCAAACCTGGAGCAGGTACTCACTGGGAGGCTGAGGGAGAGAAAATAAAATCACATTTTGTTTTAAAATTATAAATATTCTCCCTTTAATATTATTTAGTAACTGTGGCTGCGGTGAGTTCCAGTGATCCTCCTAAGCAATGTCTGGTAGTCTTTAAAAAGTGATCTTTGCTCCCCATCTCTTGCCCATGGTTTAAGTGCAGCAGGGGTTGTCAATAACTAGCATAACATCGATGCCATATACTTCCAGCAGGTCCAAAAGGAAACTTCGATCCCCTTGGGGATCCAGGCCCATGCCTCGTGCATGGTCAGCTGTCAGTGTCTTGTCCTGGCTGGCCGACACCTCCATCAGCGTCTGAAATATGCGGTTGTTCTGCTCCATGAAAAACCTACAGGATAAAGTCAGCTAAGATGATGGCGTTGGACCCCCCAAAAGACAGCATATTTACCAAACAGACAGCAGAGCCCCAGAACTGCATTTAACCCCCTTTAATCATAGATCCCACCTTCTTAGGTGACGCTCTAGTAGTTGTTCACCCACCCTGTGGGTGACCTAGAATAAACAAAGATAAAGCTGTAACTTTCAATTTATAGCAGTGCTTCTGTTGGGCTGATGATTTATGCTAGGCATTTGACTCTGGAGAAGCAAGCCACGTTATCAGCTAATGTGTATTTTGTGGTAGCCAAGTGGGTACACCAGACCTATAGCTCCCGTAATGCAAAGGAGGAAGTGGTATTCTCATCCATTAGTAAGCCACTGGGTAAATAAATTCTCCATTACTGGTGCAGAACACAGCAGTGAGAGCTACTTCTGACCTAGTGCTTTCCTAGGAATGTGCAAGGCTGTTCAGAAAGAGCTCTGACTACATCCGCACAGTTCAACCATCAGAGCTCTGTCCCGACAGCCCTTCACACAGTTTCATCCCATTACTTGCCTCCTGCTGCAGACTGTGAACAATAGCAACAGGCAGTGAAGGGCTTCAGAAGTGGTAGAGGTGTGGTTTTCATCTAATTCCATACCTCTAACTCTATGCCCAGTTCTGGTTCCTCTGTTTGCCAAGTACAAAGCCAGCCACATCAATGGGTCAATCTTTCACATGCATTCTTATCTCCACAACGTACCTCCCCCAGCACAGTACAGTGCCTGCTTCCCGCACTCTCCTTTCCTGAACCAAATGTTCTGGCATGAAAGGTCCTATAGTGCTTAGGTTTTAAAAAATGGGAGGGGATTCCTGCATTTCTAATTGTGTTTTTACAATTTCCTTCTCCCTCCCAGCACCTAAGAGACTCCAGTGGAGACATATATGGCTGCATCTGGCTTGTCAAATTGAAAGGAAGATGACCTGAAGAGGAAGGGTCAGTTTGGTTCTTGGATCCCTTGAGGAAGAGAGCTGACTATGGAATTGTGTTAACCATGATGTTTCATAATATACCAAACCAGTGCAACATAAAATCAGTGAAAGAGGCTCAGCTCTCTAACAGAGACCAACTAAGAGGTAGCTACTCACAAGATGAAAAGGTCCTCTTCACAGGAGTTACAATCATCACCCACTTCCTGAGAATACATTAACATCTGCCTGAAAGAAGGGAGACAGTTTAATTGCACATACCTACAGTGAACCTTGAAGCATTATGAGAAGACAAGTACAACTAAAAACATCACGTCCATTTCTTGGAGACCAATCAGACTGACAGTATTGCCCCAGTACATGAAGCAACAGGGTAGTCTTTTAAGGCACCGGACTCAAAAGCAGGCTGTTTGCAGTTGTGCTACTGATCGTTGGTGACCGAATGGTGAGTCACAACCTCTGCTTCAGTTCCTGCCCTCTGCCTGCTCCATCAGCTGTGACTGTATGTGCAGTGCAGTGCAGTGACTGTATGTGTGCAGAGTGCCCAGGGGCTCTCATACCAGTCAGCGTCAGTGCAACCAGAATCTCAAAGAGATGACCTGAAGCAGTGCGCAACTCTGAAAATACAAAGTACAAAGGAGCAGTGTCCTCTTTATCCCACATCACACTGCTGTCCTATCAGGACCACCCAGAAGTCCATTGTTACCTCTGGTCATTGAGCCGCCGGTACTTCTCCTTGTCAGCATTATTAATTTTCAGGAGTGGTTGGAGATGCTCGTGATGCGTCTTCACATTCTGGTTGTCCACATAGACATCATAGAGATCCCGTTTCTCCTCAAAGATCTTTTCTGTTGTGCCTGCCAAAATCAGAGAAGATTTTCAGAGCAGCTTGCTGCTTTCCCAGCAGACCAACTGTTCTCTCCTGCTTTCGTAGTTAGTCATTCCACACACATCCAGTTTCTCATCAGTTTTATTCCACAGTCTGGTGTCTCAAGACACTTTACAGCCTGAAGTTAACTTCACACCTAATCCATCATACTTACAGGCCACATAGGATACTTCTGTCTCCAGCATTTCTATGTCTGCCACATTCACATAGAAGAATGGTTTGGACTCTGGGACAGTTCCTCCAAGACCAGGCAGAGAAACATTGGCAAGGCAACAGCAGCAGTAGACTGCAGACAAGAGAAGTATATCCTGAGATGCTTTCAGTATTCCCTCAAGGGTATTCTGAAGCCCAGTTACACAGTTCTCCCATACACTTTTTTGAGAACAATGTTTAGAACTTAATGCCTCTGAACACCAGAACTTCTCAAGTGGAGATATGCTGTTTTGGATAAGAAATAGTCAATCAGTTCTCCCACAGCAATCACAGAATGGTTTGAGTTGAAAGGGACCTTAAAGCTCACCCAGTTCCAACCCCCTGCCATGGGCAGGGACACCTTCCACTAGACCAGGTTGCTCAATGCCCCATCCAGCCAGGCCTTGAATACTTAATCCCATGTTCTAGTTTCCACAAATTCATTCAGCACAATATTGTCTTGTGCTGACAGGAACTGTGTTCAACAGTGCCAGGTATGTCTTTACCCAAAAGATCTGAAGAAAAGCATTTTGCAGGAAATGGGCAAATGGTTGCAATGGATACCTCTGCAGGATGTCTGTCCCCTCAGTACCCACAGGCATTTCTGCAGTGCTTCAGCCTACTAGATCAGAGCTCTGCAGTGTCCCTGGAAACATACCTCTATAGCAGACAACTCCAACTGGGGGTGGTGAAAATATCAATATGCGCTTGCGCAGCAGGGCAAACTTCCAGAGGACAAGGATCTGCTCACCGAAGAATTTGATGAACTGAGACATACAGCCAGCAGGGTGTGTGATCTGCAGGTGGAGGGAAAGGGAAGAAAACAGCTCAGAGGTGAATCAGGGACACATGCACAGATGCTAAGTCTAAATGTGGGAGCAAGACCAGCACACAGCAATGACAGAGAACTGCAGCTTTCAACAGTCCAAGTAACAAAATCTTACTTAAAGCAGCCCACAAAGTGCTGGAGTCACTGCTTACATAAAGAAGTATGAGACACCAGCAAGAAGCAGGAGCACACTGACCGTTCCTGCAAGCCTCAGAGCACCTTGCCTCACCTTCATCTCTGGGTACATGTATCTGTGGATGGATGGCAGCCAGTGGACAGGTTGCTGAGAGTTGGAGGTGCCCTTGCTACTGGGGAGAACTCCTTTCTTGTCATCATAGAATGCCTCTAGATGGGAGTAGTGCCCTGGCATCTCCAACTGGTGTCTGGAAGAGAAAGTAAAAAAGGGGAGGTCTGTAGTGTCTCCAGTCTCTACTTATTCAGTGTCTTGCCACCCAGCTAGCAAAGGAACCCTGGGTGTCTCAGCTGCACAGACTTATCCAGGAGGGCAGCTGAAGAGTCAGGAGTAACACCAGCTTTCAGTGCAGCCAGTCAGCTGGTGTCTGCGTAGTACTGGTCCTGTTTTAAATATGCTTAGGTAGAAACAGGTCCACTCAACACAGCTGAAACACGCAGCTAGCCACAATCACCACTGCAGATTTGGAAACCTTTTGTGAGTCCTTAGTAAAATGGTTTTCAGAAGAACAGTGAAACTTCTTGTCCTCTCAGCTCTCCCCGACACTTACATCTACACAAAGCAAGTAGGGTTTGGAACGCATCTGACTAGCCTGTTAGCAATGAACAGGCTACTGCTAACCAGTTCCTTGTCTCCTTCCCATTGTGAACATGTAACTCTTTCTAGAGAAGTAGTCATTGAAGGAAATCGTGGCTCAGCGTTGTAGTCAAATTCTCATGCCTAAAACTGCCCTCCATCGAGGCAACATTACTACCTCTCCTTAGCAGGGAGTGGCCAGTCCCATTCCCAAGAAAACTTACCTCACCTGGTTCTCCAGGAAGTGCATGTACCTATACAGCAGGGTGTAGGAAGGGGACAGAATCCCCACGGACTTCATGCGGGCACCACGCTCTAACTCGCTCTCCACAGGCATGTTGGCAAAGCAGGCCAGGCCAAAACAGAGCCCTTTCCGGAAATAGCTGGAAACAAATGTTTGACAAAAGGATTAACGTTAAAAAAGAGGGAAAAGGAAGAAAGCAAGGTAACTGACCACTAAAATATTGATTTGGGAACATAGTTCCTTCTTAAGGAACCCCCTTAAATCCCACTGTGCTACCTGAAAGGCTGAGGACAGACCTTGGGTGTCCTAGTCTTCTCAAGAACAAGACAGGACATTCAACGCAGTTCCCCTCTTTCAAGGAAGAAAAGCCTGCAGTGCATCAGGTCTGGAGTGTAGTCTAGCTACCTAGTCATAATTTGGGTGCCAACACATTGAAGCATGCTCTAGCTCAGTGCAAATGTTCAGTTCACATGCCTTTGAGAACGTAACTGTTATTCCTGACCAAAAGGAACTGTGACACTGCAATTCACTGCAAAACACTGCTGCTTTGCAACACTGGGTCAGTAACAGGATGGGAATGAAGAAAATTCCAAGCTTCTCTCTTTCCACTGAAGGAGGAAGCTGTCAAAGAAAGTGAGCAAGCACACAGCACAACATTTAAAGGACCCAAAGCATTGGCAGAATTAAGAATCTTTATCTAAGTCCAGTTCCTGTAAAATCCTTCCCATTTCAGTTCTGCAATTCTTTTCCCTTCTCCCTAGGCCGCTGCTGACAGTCCCAACAGTGGCAGTGCAGTACGATCTGCACAATGTCCATTAAACTTTGCACACCACTGCAAAGCTGCCCTGCCCCATCACAAGCTGGCCTCCAGAGCCAAAGCTGTCATACAGCAGATCCCCACAGCTCGCTGGTACTTCGTATGATATTGACAGTATCTGAAGAGTACTTCAGCTCAGCTAGGTACAGTTTAGCAGCACATTTATGCAGGACTTAACTTTATGGGTGGTAATTTTCTTGCATGTTCTGAATTAAGGGATGGTGGTGTAGATACAGAGGTAAGAAAGAAGTAATTTAGATGAGACGTACTCACATGAAATCCGACTGGATTCTGTGGGACCCACTTGCCATAGATTTGAATTCCACACCTTCCAAATCAACATCTTGGGGTAAACACCACTCCACCATGTTGCCTGCAGTGAAGCACATTTATTTAGGTAAACTTGAACTCATTTCCAAAAGGACAAACACCAGCAAGTCACTGCTTTTACATCACCATTAACAGTGCACTAATGCAACTCCTAAACTCCCAAATTGTCACGGGCAGTAGCTAACATACTATACTCCACACACACCTTGTGAATGTTACTTACTGCAGCACAACACCCAGATACTGCAGGACTTCTAGAGCCATTTTTGAAGCTAGTGCTATTTTGTGGGTTTATGCTTTATAAGCTTGATCACAGAGCAGCTACAATTTTACCTGACAGTGGATGAGGTATTAGTGCTGTTCCACGCAGGCTGTCTGCATGAGTATCTGTTACAGAAAGCATCTGGAGTATAGGCTGCTGCTCTTTCTCAGGATGAGTTTCTGTGATAGCTCATACCACCATCAGTATGTGCTTGGCTCATACCACCATCAGGCTGTGCTTGGCAGGGCTGGTCAAACAGGAACCCCTAAACTAGCATCCCAAACACCACTACTTCCCTGGAACCCCTCACATTTCGTTTAGGATAGGAGGATCCTCCTTTATATGGAGGCTGAGGTGATCAGAGTACTGCAACACGTCTGTGCACGCTAGAATGACCAAACAAAAACCACATAAATTACAGGCTAGATCAAGATTGGGAAACATCTGTCACCTGCCAACCCGGCCAGAAAGCACGCTGTTGTTCAGGGGAAAAGGCCACCCAAGGATCCTGATCCTGGAACGTGATATCAGAGAAGTCACAAGGAGTCCCTAAAGTCCTGTTCTGCCACCGCCAAGTTTATCATGGACAAAAAAGGGGACTTCTCACGATTTCCCATGCCAGCACTTTGGAGTCTAACCTGCTCCTGTGGACACTCCCACTGTACGGAGATGTGCTCCAGGTTTACACACTGAGTTTCTGTCCTCTGCCAGCCTGCCCATAGCAACAGCATTTGAAGTAATGTGGCTTAGTTTTAAAAACAAAACAAACAAGCATTCTTCAGTATAATGAAATAGCAGATGCAGCGCAAAGATACTTTATACAGGTACTGTCCTTCTCCTGCCCTTTGGGATAAGCATCCCATGGACTGGACATTTGGAAGAGCCTTACACCCAGCTGAGACTTTTAAAGATATTTAAATATGAGGCTTCATTTCTGAAGCCTGTCTTGTGTGTCATTACTCATACTTCACAAGTATATGCATGCACTCTCACACAGGAATCGGGCTTAGCTGCTGACATTTAAATGGGCTATTTTTCTTCTCCCATAGATACTGTGTTCAGCAGACTTCCCCCAACCCTGCCTGGCAAGGACTTCAAAACAAATCCCCAAACAACAGCGTTAAGCGTGGCAACACGAGAAGTTTTGCATCCAAGTAACCACTTCCAGTGCACAACCAGATCTCTCCCGTGGAGCCGGGCTGGTTGGGGAGTGGTGGCAGCCTCGTGACCCCTCTGTGCAATCACATGTGGAACCACAGAGCTCTGCTGTGAAGCGGCTTCGCCTCTGAGGCGTGTGAAAGGCTGGCAGAGAAAGCCAGTGACATCATGTCAGCCTGCACGGTCCCCTGTAGGGTTTGCATATTATATATAGATATTGGCCTTTGTTGTTTGGGGTTCCGTGTGTGTGTGTGTACTTGGTTTTCTTTTTAAAGGCACAAGACCCTTCCTTGCAAGGGTGAAGAAGGCAACTCCTAGCTCTTCTTAACCACAAAGTTGTGGTTAACGCTAGATCCACTTTTAAATCTCGCATCACAGAGAAGCACTTATTGGTTATTACCTACAGATTAACAGATTGATACGCAAGAGCACCAACGAGCAAAGGAAACTGACTTTGTTTAGCTTAGTCACAAACACTGCTTACTGTCAGGTTTAATACCCACCAGTGAGGTGTTGAAGTGGACATGGCGCAAACAATGCCTGTTCTGTAGCAGCGTGTAAGGAAAAAACACCTTGAAACAGCTCCTTGCCCTCTGTGTAACCACAAAACCAACTCACACATCATCCAGCCATTTTTCTTCCCTGGGATCTGTGACAAGCAGCCTACACCTGTGCTCCCGGCACTCCTCACACCACCTTGCCCCATGGACGTACAGGTGACGTGGCACTCGCAGAACAAACACGGGGCTAAGAAAGGGAACTAAGGAAGTCAGTCTGGTGAAACAGCAGAGCAAACAAAGGAGAGACTTCACCCAGACACGGCAGTGGCTCCCAGCCTGCCTGAGAAACCGGAGGAGGGAGCAATTGTGGAAAAACAGGAAGCACTGCCCTTCACTGAGCAGAAACAGGTCTCGTGCGCACAGGAAACTTCCCCAGTGAAAGTCACCCAGCGTTAGGAAGCGGGCGAGTGGTTTTGCTGAGAGTCAAATCTGGAAATCTCCTGGGAGCTATCTCCCAGCTCCACGCCACGTCAGAAGCAGCACTCTCTTTCTCGTGTGCAAAGTTAAGGATGTTCTTCCTCTTTCTCTTGTATTTTCTCTCCTCTGGATTCTCACATCCTTACAGAAATGAAGGTGGCACTAGCATTTGGTAGCTATCACCTGGCTCTCCTCACCATTAGATCTTTCAGGTCCCCAGCTGTGCTATACTACCGTGCTGGGCTCGGACACAAGAGGCACAAAGTGTGACTTAGCTGTCACTCTGGCTCTGTTTCCTGCCTGGAAGAAATGCGGGACAGAAAACCACAATATTTGCCTGTTCACTGGTGCAATACACACTACTTCCCTCTCTTCCCTCCATGTCTCCCCCCATTACTCACACCACCTTCTAAGCCAACAGATAGTGTGGGACCTCCACAAGGCTGACTATCATCATCTCCATCACAGAAAAAGACTAAGAAGGTTCAGCCTCTTTTCAGCTATCCTGATCTGACACAGTCGATGTGGCCATGGACTTCAGTTCATCTTCTTTTATCTTTCAGAGAAAAATTTATTGTTCCACTGTTTTCTTCACTTTCTTTACCCAAGATGAGTTTTGTAAAGCACATGTACTTGAACCTAATGCCAAGTAAGTCACACCTACCAGATGTATCCCCATTGCTGCCCAAGACAGTGTTGGGTCTTCTGTTACTACCTGCCCGAGGGACCACCCACACAAGGAAATCCAGCAGCCTCATTAAAGCCCCTTGTGACCATGCTCTTTAAGGGGCAGTGTTTGTGCAGACCTGGTGCTCACACTTTTTGAGGTGTCAGAGCATTCCCAACTCCTCACTCCCCAAAGGAGGGGGCTGCCAAAGGGCAGGGAGCAATGAGAAGATGGCACTGTTGGCTCCTGGCTGCCACCGTTCTGAACTTAATGTACGGTTCACTTTCTGCATCAGTGCAAGAGCTGCTTCTCAAGTGCCACAAGGCTCGCCCTGCTGGAGGTGAGGACAGTACTGCTGATTTAGAAGCTGCCTCTGGCTCTCATGTTCAGCCATGCACACAAGCTTCAGTAAGAGTCCCTGGGCACTGAAATTGTAACAGTGGCCTGGCAACCCCATTACTTACCTTCACTAACTCACATGCAGCTGCTAGATACACGAGTTTGTCTGCCTCAAGCCCTTCTAAATTTAGGAGGAAAGCTGTTAGGTTCTTTAGTAGCATAGTTACCACTTCATCCTTCTACAGTAAAACATCAGTTGCTTGTCTGTAACTACACAGACACTACTTGGCACAACTACCCCTCAGCCACCACCAGAAATTCAGCCTTTCACATTCCTGAACAAGCTAGCAAAGGAGATCTGCTGTGTTTTCCTGGACGGGAGCAAGCAGGTTCCCAGCTCAGACACTGACTGGCAGATCTTCAAGTCACACATACAGACAAGAAGGTTCTTCATGCCATCTGATGTGGTTGACCCAGCACTCCCGTATCCTCTTTGTGACCCTAACGAGTTCACACTACTGCAGCTTCAAGACCTTTTCTCCAAGTCATCATCCTCCATGAGGCACTCTGCACTCCACCTGTGATGGTGTCATGTGTTCCTCACAGTCCTATCATGCCTCCTTACATTCCGTATCCATGTTGAGTATCAGCAGGAAGCTGAATCTCACTGGACTTGACAGAGTGCTCCAAGGGTGATGACACCAAGCATCAACTGCACATCAGATGTGAGAAGAGCTGTTTCCCAACTTTCCCTGGACTCCATTCAAAGCAACAGCTGGTTCAGACAAGCTCCTGAGAAAGCTCAGCTTTCTGCCGACCAGAAAATCTCACCATTCTGTACAAGGCATATGCTCTCGGATCGAAAGACAACCTGTTGCTGCTGCAGTCATCCTGACGCTTCCATGTTTTAGATACTTAGGAGAAACACCTCCCCTTCCCATCTCCTGCTGGAAAGATGGCATCCAGTCTCATTGTGGATTTTGATGAGTCAAGAGCCTCTGACCTCCAGACTGCAGGGGGGTAACTTCTTGAAAGCCCTTTGGTGTTTTAGGACACAGTGGCCATGCCGTTTCACAGCATGCATTTCTGACAGCATGTCACACTTGGGCTCTGTCCTCTTCATTCCTTCTTTGAGACTTTCAGTTCAAGACCAGGATTCAGTCTTCACTATCATGACCCTCTTGTGAGTGTAATGCCAGTCACCTGCCCCCTCCATGACAAACCCTGCCATGGTTCACAGAGCCCTTTCCTGTCCCTAGCACTTCTGCTATGGATTTGCTAATAAAGTGTTGGCCTACAGAGGAAAGAGGAGCTCACTCCCACATCGGGATGCAAATGGATTCCTGCATCTCCCAAGCTACTTCCTAAACTTTCTGGTCATAACAAGCCTTTGCACCCCAGGCTGTTGCTAGGCAGCAGAAAGACCCAATGATCTGTCCTGGGGCACTGGCCTCCTAAAGCACAGTACCTGTGTTAACAGATGTGCGGCAGGTGCTAACCTTCTGTGTCATAATGCCCTGTTTCCTGGATACCAATACAGCAGCAAGATTAAGAAAAACAAGATCTTTCCTGAAATGAAAAGATGGGTTTTATAAACGAATAAAGGTGGAAAACACATTCCCTCACTCCTCTGCCCTCCTGGGCTGTAGCATCGCACTTCAAAGCACTGAGGGTCCCAGAGATCCCACCAGAGGCCAGCCTCTAAACACACAGGCCACCAAGAAATACATTGCCGAGCTGCTGCTGCTGGGGATCACGCTCTGTACCCCTGCCAGACCGATGCCTGCCACAGCCGTCACCCATCGCTGACAGCCGCAGGCAGGTCTATGCCAAGCTACGGCACCGCAGGATGCTCTGGGGATGCTGCTAACAGGTTGGTGCCCCCCAGGCAGCGCTCGGCCCTAGGGCTGGATGCTGTGCGGGCGGCAGGTGGTGCCCCGCCACCATCCCCAGAATCCCCAGCCCGTGTCCCGCTGCGGAGCTACCCCCGCCCCCGCCGGTCACCGCTCTCCTCGGAGCGGCACCTTCCTCGCCTCCGAAGTTCTCGGTGGGATGGAGATAAAACGCAAACCCCCACCGTCTCCGCTCCCTCGGCGCTGCTCGGGAGGCCGGCCGCGGAGCAGCACTCTCCGGTAGGGGCAGGGGGCAGCCCGGCTCCCGCAGGCCGCTCCCCACGGGAGTCCCGCAGCCGGTTCCCAGCCCACATCCATCTTACACCAGCGGCACCAGGAACCCCAGGCCCGGCCACCGCAGGCCCCGGCCTGCCCCCCCCCCCCCCCCACGCCGGCCCCGCCGCCACCGGCGCCCCTCACCTGTGCGGGGGTCGAAGGTGACCACGAACACGGCCACGATCTGGTCCTCCTCCGCCTCCGCGCGCGGCGGCCCCACCGCCTCCTCCGGCCCCTCGCCTCCCCACGGAGCCGAGCTCCAGCCGCCGCCGAGCCGCCGCCCGGCACTGCTGCTGCCGCCCGCCTCGGCTGCGGACGGCGGGGCGGACACGGCGGGGCCCTCGGCCGATAGCAGCAGCGGCGTCTCGTCTGCGCGCTCCCCCATGGCCACGGCGCAGAGCCGAGCCGAGCCGAGCCGAACCGCGCCGCATCGGCCGCCGGCTGGGGGCGCTGCCGGGGCGGTGGAGGGGGCGTGGCTTGCCGCCGGGGGCGTGGCTCGTCGGTAATGGCGCGCCGGGCAGGGGGCAGCGTGGGGGGTTGGAGAGCAGCTGGTAGCGCTCGGGCTGGGCTGCAGGGGTCCCTGCGATAGGGCACCCCCTGTTCCTGCTGCACCGCTCCCTGCCCCCTGGCCCAGGCTGCTGTGTTCTGACCCCAGTATGGACCCGCTGCCTTCCCGAGCAGGACCGGTCAGGGACAGCCCAGTCAAGCCCATCTTACCGAGGAGCTGCAGGAGCTGAGCAGAGCGGCCGGCACCACTGACACTGCCAAACTGCTGCAGTGGAAGCTGCAGGGCACAAACCTGGAAGGGTCAGTGCCACATGCAGAGTACACTGGGCTTTTGGGGGCTGTGTGTAAATAAGTATGTGGTATAGAAGGATGTGGAACAGTTGTCAGAGAAACAGGCAGAATCAGCTTGATGTCGGAAGACGAAGACAGAAGTGTGACCAAGGCATCCACAGGCAGCCAACTTTTGTGTAATTACCATCCTCATTATGTGACCGCTAATGTCATTAAGTGTCATTAGGTTTAAGTCGGTTCCCTAGGACTTTCTGATTAATTGAATCACCCAATTAAGCAGGCCACAATTAAAGGGAAGATATTGTCGTAAAAGCTTTAATTGTCTCTCTTTGTTTCCTGTTACAGTATCACAGTATCACAGTATGCTGGAGATTGGAAGGGACCTCAAAAGATCATCTAGTCCAATCCCCCTGCCAGAGCAGGAACACCTAGATAACGTTACACAGGAATGTGTCCAGGCGGGCTTTGAATGTCTCCAGGGAAGGAGACTCCACAACCTCCCTGGGCAGCCTGTTCCAGTGTTCCGTCACCCTCACTGAGAAGAAGTTCCTTCTCAAGTTTAAGTGGAACCTCTTGTGTTCCAGTTTGCACCCATTACCCCTTGTCCTATCATTGTTTGCCACTGAGTAGAGCCTGGCTCCATCCTCGTGACACTCCCCCTTTATATATTTATAGACACTTATAAGGTCACCCCTCAGTCTCCTCTTCTCTAAACTATAAAGACCCAGCTCCCTCAGTCTTTCCTCATAAGGGAGATGCTCCACTCCCTTAATCATCTTGGTTGCCCTGCGCTGGACTCTCTCCAGCAGCTCCCTGTCCTTCTTGAACTGAGGGGCCCAGAACTGGACACAATATTCCAGATGGGGTCTCACCAGGGCAGAGTAGAGGGGAAGGAGGACCTCTCTCGACCTACTAACCACCCCCCTTCTAATACACCCCAGGATGCCATTGGCCTTCTTAGCCACAAGGGCACAGTGTTGGCTCATGGTCATCCTGTCGTCCACTAGGACCCCCAGGTCCCTCTCCCCTACACTGCTCTCTAGCAGGTCGTTCCCCAACCTATACTGGAACCTGGGGTTGTTCCTGCCCAGATGCAGGACTCTACACTTTCCCTTGTTATATTTCATCCCGTTATTCCCTGCCCAACTCTCCAGCCTGTCCAGGTCTCGCTGGATGGCAGCACAGCCTTCTGGCGTGTCAGCCACTCCTCCCAGCTTAGTGTCATCAGCAAACTTGCTGATAGTACACTCAATTCCCTCATCTAAATCATTGATGAATATATTAAATAATACTGGTCCCAGTACTGACCCTTGAGGCACTCCACTAGTTACAGGCCTCCAACTAGACTCAGCCCCATAGACTACAACTCTCTGGCTTCTCTCCTTCAGCCAGTTCGCAGTCCACCTCACTACCTGGTCATCCAGTCCACACTTCCTCAATTTAGCCGTGAGGATGCTGTGAGAGACTGTGTCAAAGGCTTTGCTGAAGTCAAGGTAGACCACATCCACCGCTCTGCCATCATCCATCCACCGTGTTATTTCCTCATAAAAGGCTAAGAGATTGGTCAAACATGATTTCCCCCTGGTGAAGCCATGTTGACTGCCCCTCATAACCCTCTTATCCTTGATATGCTTTAAGATGGCACCAAGGACAAGGTGTTCCATCACTTTCCCAGGGATGGAGGTGAGGCTGACCGGTCTATAGTTACCCGGGTCCTCCTTCTTGCCCTTTTTGAAGACCGGAGTGACATTTGCCTTCCTCCAGTCCTCAGGCACCTCTCCCGTTTCCCAGGACTTGGTAAAGATGATGGCGAGTGGTCTAGCAATGACTTCCGCCAGTTCCCTCAGCACTCGCGGGTGCATCCCATCTGGACCCATGGATTTATGGACGTCCAGATTGCTCAACTGATCTCTAACCCATTCCTCATCGACTAAGGCAAGTCGCTCCGTCGACCTGACTTCATCTAAGGTCTCAGGGGTATAGGGCTCTTCAGGACTGCCTGCAGCAGAGTAGACAGAGACAAAGAAGGCATTCAGTAACTCTGCCATCTCTGCATCTTCTGTCACCAGGGCACCCATCCCGTTCATCAGTGGGCCTACATTGCCTCTGGTGTTAGTTTTGTCTGCCATGTACTTGAAAAAGCTCTTTTTGCTGTCCTTGACCCTTCTTGCCAGGTTTAATTCTAAGGAAGCCTTAGTCCTCCTAGCTGCCTTCCTACATCCCCTAGCAGCAGCCTTATATTCCTCCCAAGTGGCCAGCCCCTCCTTCCATGACCTGTAAACTCTCCTCTTCCACTTGAGCATACCCAGCAATTCCCTATTTAGCCACACAGGTCTCTTGGCCCTCTTCCTTGACTTCCTACGTGTCGGGATGCTCCGATCTTGAGCACGGAAAAAGCAGTCCTTGAATGTCAACCAACTATCTTGGGCCCCTTTTCCTTCAAGCAGCCTTGCCCATGGGATTTCCCCTAGCAATTGCTTGAAAAGGCCAAAGTTTGCCCTGCTAAAGTCCAGGGTTGCAATTCTACTTGGTATCCTACTAGTCCTACCACACAAGATCCTGAACTTCACCATCTCGTGGTCGCTGCAACCAAGGCAGCCCTCTACCCTTACTGCTTCAACCAGACCCTCCTTGTTAGTGAGGATGAGATCCAGCAGCGCTCCTCTCCTGGTCGGCTCATCCACCATTTGCAGGAGGAAGTTATCATCCACACACTGGAGGAACCTCCTGGACTGCGGCTGGGTTGCCGAGTGGTCCTTCCAGCAAACATCAGGGAAGTTAAAATCCCCCATGACGACCACGGCCTGTGACTGTTGAGCAGCTCTGTGTGTTCGATAGGCCATTAAGAAACTCATCATCCAGTCTCCTCAGCAGTGGGGTTTGGTTTCTTCCTCCCATTTTTTTTTTGGTAACATTAGGGTCCATTTGCTGTGAGCTCCACTTCAGACAGCTCCAGCCCTGAGTGGGCATTCTGTTACACAAAGCCCATGTACAAACTTACTTTGCGGAGCTATAAACTGCAGTAGGTGGCATTTAGCAGATGGAGTCTTTCGTGGAAGGTGACTGGTATAGAAAAAACCCAAACTCTGCACATTATTTGTTACTGTATAAAGAAAAGCCGGATTCTGCAAATACTTGGCCACATGCTTCACTTTACCCATACAGACAGTGCCAAGCTTCATTCTGATGAATATTTTCTTTTCACGTCAGTGATGCTAAAGCGACAGCTCGTTTCTCTCCTCTCCATCCCCACAGTGGAGCTGGCACGAACGTCAGTCTGTCCCCCAGAGATCCAGGCAGGGGAAACAAATCTGGAATCAGAATTCCTCCACCACACACACGGGCTATTTGTGGTGCACCCAGGCAGGAGGAGGGGATGCGGTGAGGAGAGCAGCCTGCCATGGGGAGCAGAGGCTGCCAGCGCCGGCTCTTCTGCGGTATGTGAACTGTCATCACCCCCCCAAGCTCTCAGCTTCTGGTGACAAGAGACCTGGTGGCACCAGAGCTATTTACACTGCTTTGGCCTGCACTCTGAGCATGCTGAGGGCATGATGGACAAAAAACAAAGGCCACATTTTCTACTTTATTATTTCTCCAAATATGAAAAGACGTAGGACAGGAGAGGATGTGACCCTTTCAGGGGAAAAACTCACCCTCAAAAGAAAATGAACACGTGTTCCCTCCTGAGGGCTAAGAAAATTGACCCAGATCTTTAGGTAGTCCTCCTGAAAAGAAACAGAAATGGGGCCTTGAGTGACCTGGTCTAGTGTGAGGTGTCCCTGCCCATGGCAGTGGGTTGGAACTGGATGATCTTAAGGTCCTTTCCAACCCAAACCATGGTTCTACAATTCTATGATAAAATGTGGTGACTTTTAGTTAGAAGATGCAAGATGAACAAGTGGGGCCTTCTTGGCAGCAAGTGCAGCAAGTCCACCTTTTCTCCTTTACATATCACATTCCTCCTTAGAAAATGGACACGGGGGGGGGAATAAATCAAAAAATATTTCAGATGGGATTAAAGCTTTGGTCAGAAGGGGTTTCATTGCGGGGTTATTCATCAAAATGCAGATGCAGCGACTTGAAAGCATTATTTCTTCAGATTTAAAATGAAATATTCCTATTCAAGGCTCCAAGTATTGAACATTTCATTAATACAGTCAGATCACAGCAGAACTAAAGTGGTCCTGTCCCATGATCTCAGCTACTCAGATGCTGCAGACAGCTTTTCACAGAGAAAGCAGCCAGCACCAGCACTGCAAGGCTTTTGGATCAGAGAAAGGAGTCTGCATAGCAGCAACAGGCTCTGTGTCTGGAAGAAACACTACATCCTCTAGGACAGATGCAAGCAGTAAAAAGCACTACTGAGCTCCTGGCATGTTCCCCTGACACTGCTTGGGTGTCCTGTACCAAATGAATTGTCCATCACAGTCTGAACAGGCAACTTCAGAGACCTGTGTGGCCAGACATTTAATTCAAAGACCAGGTTAGGAGGACTGCATGACCTCAGATCAGCATGGCCCTTTATTGTCTCATGGGAATGCCCCCTGATCACAGGCTACTTAGCCCAAATTAGCCTTTCCATGCAGGCTGCAGCGCTTGTCTAAACATGCATCTAAATTGCAGGAAGTGAAATTCAGACTTAAGGAAGCACAGGAGCCTGTTATCATTAGACTAATCACTCATACAAGTAAAGCCCACAAAGACTACATCTCTGATGGGATTATCATGGAGCAGACTGGCTGTCAGCAAACCACCTCCCTGCAGGCCCTGGAAAGCTGGAGGAGGGAAGAGCGTGCAGAAGCAAGATGAGTCAGAGGGAGCCCTGCCTCCCTGCAGAGCTGGTTGCAAGCACATAAAACCCACATCCACAGCAGAACCCCTCGGCCACCAGGCAACTGTGCTCAGGTGCTGTCAGTTTCCCATTAGCAATGGTCCAGCTGTGTGGGGTGGTTATATATGTGCCTGGCCAGGAGAAGAGTTGTCTGTAGGGTATCTGGTAGTTACCTTGGGGCACCCTCTGCTTTTACAGCTGTATGTGGCATGGGTTCTTTTTTTTCTGGTTGTGAAATTTGGAAGAGAATAGGATGAGGGCTGGTGTGTGTTGTTCACATTTAGTATGATGGAAGCTCTGTTTCTATGTGTGATGAGAGTAGTGGATAAGGTATTGGTAGATGGAGAAGTTTTCCTGTGGGTTTACTGGGAAAGGCACTGACTTCTCAGCTGTGCCTGACTCGTGCCAGTAAGGCACACAGAAGATCTGTTACATGAGCAGTAGCTGAACGGATTTATACTTGATAATTTTGGGGTACTTTCCCTAATCAATGCCATCAAACAACGTCAACAAGTGATCAAGGCTTCTGTGTATGTGGGACTGGGTGGGGGGTGCATGTGACGAGTAGAGCTAATGTCTTGATAAGGCAAGGAAGAGGATAGTTATTCTGCCTGTGTAAGTAATGTTCTCTTCCTTTCTCTCTCTCTCTGTCCTTCTCCCTCTAACAAGGCAGGCCAGTATCATACCAGCTCTGTTCTGTTTCATATGGTGAGATGGATGACTGGGACAACAGTGACGAATTCATTCAGCGTCTGGACTTTTCCAGCTGTGGTGAAGAGAGTGAAGACAGAAGTATAAATGAGGAGGACAGCCTGAGCTCCAGCCCCTCCAGGAGCTGCGAGCTCCTGAACTGTCAAGGGAGCAGCCCTCTGCCAGCAACCCCTCCGAAGAAGCTTAGTGACATCCTCCTGAACAGGACAAAAGCCTGGATGAGTCCTACCGTGGTGCATTCCCCAGTCACGTGCAAGAGGCTGGGTGATGCTGAGACACCACTGCACATCACCTGGAAAAAGCTGCAGCTCTGTGACACCCCGCACACTCCCAAGGTAATGGCATGTATCCTGTCTGTGTCTGAGTTGGCAAGATCTCCAGCATTGCTGTTGCATTGCTGCATAGGTGGTGAGGAGATCTGTTGCTTCTCTCTGCTCTTAGAAACCTGGACCATGAGCTCCTTAGCCATCAAAGGGTTATACTGTAGGTGTGAATAGACACCTGTGTGTAGGAGCGGAGTCTTGAATCTTTCCAAGCTGCTGCTAAAGCTTATTAGTTAGCATCAGGTAATTCTGAGCTAAAAAAAAACCCACAAAACTCAGGCAACCAAGTGCCTTGGTTGCCCATGCGCCCCTTGCATTCTGTTTAGGGCAGTGGACATCTATGTAGCAATGTTCTCCCAGAGGGATAAGTGCATCTCCTTCTCCTTTCAAGGAGCTCATCATTCCAAGGGGAGCTTGGAGACGGGCACCTTTCCCAACTGCTCTGTTCAGTACGTTTTTTCAATGCAAGTGGATTTTCTCTTGAAAGAGAAATTTGGGAATGGTGTGGTGGCTGGGGTATACTTTGGCAAGTCTTGATTGCTTCCAATGAGGTTGCTGTCCACTGATGCTCATTCTCTTTTTCTGTGGAGCTGAGCTGCTCAGTGAATTTGGGGAAAGCGGGACTTCCCCAGGTTAGCAAATCCCCTGTGGGATTTGGGGTAACAAATCAGTGTGTGCTTGTGGAGGAAGGTTACCTGTCTTCCTTTTGTCACTGTCCTAAAATGTAATTTATCTATTGAGTTTCTTGGAAGAATACTCCCAGCACCTGTTTGCTGTGAAATTTCTTGTATGGAATATAATGTATCTGCTTTGTCTTCTGTAAGCACAAGTGGAGGCTTGCCACCAGCTCCTCTGTTCCTAGATAGCTTCTGTTTTATGCACGGGCTTTTAGCATTCAGAGACTTACAACAAAAGTAGCTCTTTCAGTCCTCTCTCCTGCTCTATATTCCTGCTCTACTGATAGCCTAGTTGGTCCTTTGCTTAAGTGGTAACAGAAGATCAGTCCTTTTAGTACTTCTGCCCTCCAGAAAGCTGATTGTGTAGGGAGAAGGATGGTCCTGTGACCACATTCGACCTTTTGTGTGGCCATGTTTACTGAGGAATGGCCTGCCACTCCCTAGGGGAAAGTGGCTCTAAATGGTGTCACTCCAAGAATTTTCTGCAATGACCATTTATATGAAAACTCCCTGAATCTCACCTGAACATAGGTGAGAGGTCTCAAATCTCTTCCAGACCAGATAATCTACTGGTAGTGGAGGGTGCTTTCAGTGTGTGCTTTTGTGTAGCTGAAATGTTGGCTGGATGCTTCAAGACATGCTGCTTGTGGCTTGTCACCTTGTAGCCCATGAGCAGCAATTGCACTAAACCAACAATTTCTTTTCCTTTGCTGTCTTATGGGATAAAGGTCTTTGTTTCCAAGTATGTTGCAAAAGGTGGGCTCTAAAGAGCCTAAATCTGCTTAAACAAGGCTGGGAGCATTGATCTCAGAACACTTGAAAGCAAGAGTAAGGGTAAGAGCAGAGTCGCATCCAGCTGCAGACAGATGAGCACTGGGGCCCCAGCTAGGATGCATGTGTCTATGTGATACATTATGATTGCAGACTTACCCAATCCTGGAACAGATTGCTAGAGCTAGTTGCTTACACTGTATGGCAGCAGCTACTCTCAGATGATGATACTGGAGGCAAGTCTGTTTGATTACAAAATAGAGCCCTAGTAGAGCAGATGGGAATTGCATGCACACAACAGCAGGCTACAATGGTATTTTAGGTCCCTTTCTTGCATTTACACTAGAACATAGCTGCAGTTCTACAGAGCTTCTAAGCTGCTGGGTAAATTGGGCTTGGACATCTACTGCTTTTGATATGTTCATATGCAGAGCTTTTCCATCCAAGAGCAAGGAGATGCAAACCAGAGCATGAGAAAGTGATCAATAAGCACTTCCAGATTCATAGTAAACAAGTAGCTAAACTTCCAAGTGTGGTATAGAAACAGAGTGATGTCCCAGAAGTAGCTATATCCATGAGTGCAGCATCAATTAGGTGGATGCAGGATACTACATGCAGCTTTTAAAGGATTTTATCCTCAAAAGCATTTAATAAGAGACGGGAGAAACTCTAGATATGATCCTGGAGCGATGCTTCTGGTCACAAGAGTAAGACCACTGCTGGATCAAAAGCATAGAGAAGTATCTTGATCTTCATGACAGGTAGAGTTCTGGATTCTTGAAGAACTTTTAACTAGGGGAGGGATATATTAAAACCGCCTTTAGACCTAACACCACTCTGCTGAAGTCAAAAAACAAACTTATATTTGAAAAGGTTGAGGGTTACCCAAGGGGTAAAATCACAGCAAGTAGATTCTTCTGTCTTCAGATCAAGACAGGGTGGTTCTCTGAAGTTATGCATTAATCAGCTCAAGGCTTTGGACTGGTAGGTGAAACCCAAAGTTCTTCTGTGGGAAGCTGAACTATAGAGGATCCAGAGGTTCCTTCTGAACTTAGCTTTCTGAAACTTTGTTTTCGTCTTGACAAGAACTGTTTTCTGGTCACTTTGCCAGTAGCCATATCAAAATACTTCTACCAACTTCCCCTATGCTAAAGCTGCCTATTGCTGGGGAACCAAAAGGAAACTTGTTCTGTCTCACCTTCTGACAAACCTGTCCTGACCAAACTGATGCAACAGTCCCTGCTTGGCAGAACTGAGTCTTCCATGTTAATACAACATATGATGTAATTTCTGTGACTCTGTAGGTGGGAAAGATGAGCAGCTGGCTCCTCTTTAGGACTGTGCTTGCCAAAATGGCTCTGCAGGTCTCACCCAAGTGAGAAGAGAATAGAGTCTGAAAGCGCTTAGCAAGCAGTGTAATACTCTGTAGAAGGAGAAGAAAACTGTCAGGACTAAATTGGGGATGCAGGGGTTTAATGATTTGGCTTGTCTGAGGAAGGGAGCAGAGTTCTCCTTGATTTGCAGGAGAGCAAAGACTTTATTCTGACACTGCAGCAACAAAAGCAATGCTTGGCTATCTTCCCCCCCCCCTTTTTTTTCCCCCGTCAATACAGAGCCTGTTATCGAAGACAGCTTTTCCTTCATCTGGGACAAAGGTCCCACACAAAGGCTTCCGACATCTGAGATTTACTCCTGGTGCTGAACTGGATGACTCTACCCAAGCACCTCTTGTCAACATTAACCCCTTTACACCAGAGTCGTATCGACAAATGCTCTTTCTTCCTAATGCCAAGCAGAAGACCAGAGGAGAGCTGTAAGTGAACTACCCTTAAATAATAGGCTGGAAGGAGGCTGTGAGTAGTAATGATGGAGATGGTCTAGTACCTGGACTTGTTTGCTAACAATGAATCATTCACTTCTGTAGTATTCATTGGTGCAGAGCAAACATTATCAGACACGAAGGTATTAGGAATATAAATAAAGTAAGTTGTTTCCTTTTGTTCAGAAACGTGAGGCACCAACAGCTAACCTCAATGCTATGGCTGTAGGGGAAAATTGTACCTCTCTTTCTTGGCCATGGGTGGAGAGGAACTTGATTCAGTTAGGATTATACCCACAGCTTGGAAGAAATTAGATGCATGTTTGCATGAAATACAGCTTTTAAGATGGGTGCAGGCTATTGCTGACCTGCAGAAGCTCCAGATCTCATCCAGGTTAACCAAGACACAAACACAGTCAAATACCTGTGCACTACAACTCCTGGCCGTGAATGTAACAGATGCACAGCTAGGATTCCCCTTTGAAATCACAGTGGAGCAGTTCTCTTCTTCACTAGAAGCTTGTTGTACAAGGTCATTGTCCAGTGCAGCTTCACCAGTAATAAGGTGGCCAGGAGAATGATGCCCTGAACAATCAATCAGTCCTGTGAGCAGTACTGAAGTTGATACGTGGAGGCTTTCTAACGGAAACAGAAGGCTTCCTAGCCTGGGACTACAGTCTTTAAGGCCTCAACTAGAAAGTGGTTGTATATTAACACTCTACAAAACACATCTTTAATTAAACTGTGAAACAAGGTTTGGAGGTTCTCTTGAAAAATATTTTCATTTCAAATCTCAGTTGGATTGCTGCCTTGAAATGATAAATCCAGATTTTCCTAAACTTCTGTTATAGGAGGGATCCTGTTCCAAGAAGTAAAACAAAACGGGAGCTACCTACACTGGTGAGTGTCTGTATATTTCACCCCCACGGAGAGGATAAGATGCTTGTAAAGATTTGGTGCTTGATGAAATCTATTCTGCTTTTGGAGTATAAATCACGGTGGCAGATCTGACACTTTGACAAGTAAGCCTAAAAACTCATTGATTTTTGGTCAGGAGGTCTTTCTAGGAAATAGAATGTAATTTAGGTTCCTTAGGGAGAACTGTACTGCTGTGTTATTGAGTTGGTGTAAATAGTGACTGTACCTTTGTGGTTTGAAAAAGCAGGTTTATTGCTGTTTGTATGAATTGGTGTACTGAGCATCTTTGGATGCTTCTATATTTCAAATAATATATGGATCTGCACTGCAAAAACACAAGTGGTGAGCTGAATAGCTCTGGTGTGGGCAAGTACTGAAGGCAGAGTTTCAATTGCAGTAGTTACAATGGCAAACTTCTGAAGCAAGGCAGCAAGTTCTGTACTTCAGTAGGAAAATGTCCAGCTGCAGGGTGTCTGTGCATCTTGGGGCCCAAGGGAAGGTCCCTTCACAGATTATGTAGCTACAGGACAGCAAATGCTGTCTTGCAATTCAAACCTAAGTTCTCTTGCTGTTCTTGATGTCTGTGCTTTCCTGGCAAGTCTCAGTGGTACGGTGTGCTGACCTGGCTGCATGGGGCAGGGTGTAAGGTATCATGTACCCCCACTTGCACTGGCAGAGATGGGCAGCTGGTGTGGGAAACTGTATCTTGCAGCCTTCTTCCTTATTCCCAATTTATCTGGGGGAAGGTACTCATCCAGCTGGTTTATGGAAAGCAAGCCAAGCCTGAATTAAATATCTGACCTCAGGTGAGGAAAGAATCTCAATTTTCCTGAGCAGCTCCTTGAAGGAAGTCTCTTGTCTTGTGAAAGTAAGTAGAATTGTTCATTGTAATTGTGAAAGGCTTACTAAAGAATAACGGTACCCTCTGGCCGACAAGACTGGTATTGCAGAAAAACTTATCTGCATGGAAAAAATACAGCAGCAGACTAAATATTCTACTAGGTAACACCCGGGGCTACCACAATTTATCCCCCCCCCCCCCCCCCCCCCCCCCCCCGGAAGAAAGCCTCAAATGACTTACTGAAATATTCTGATGAAGTGCTGATTAGAATGAATATGTAATATAGACACATAATTGTGTACTAGTAAGTATCTTTATTCCCTGAGCTTTTTAAGATACTATAAAATATAGCTGCCTTATGAAATACAACCTGCTGTGAAGGGTTGCTGGTTTGTACAAGCCACATCTTGCTGGCTGTGGGGACCAACTCTTTACTCCCACTTTTAAGGTCATATATACCATATACTACAGCAATCACAGAAGGGGTTTCTGTGGAAACCAGTGTGCAGCAACTAAGAGATGCAGGAGGATGAAGAGAAGTTACTTAGTTGACTCTCTCATTGTTCACTTCATGCTTCACTGCTTATCCCTTCTTTACTTATCTCCCCTTCAGTTATTTTCCTGTCGGTTGGCATCACGCTACAAGCAGTACCAGCAGCTCCTATTTCCCTAATGACCCTTACTGTAGCAATAATGATGTTCCAGCTGTTCTGCAGGCTTTCAGCCTTTTGTGGAGAAGTGGCTCCTGGTGAGAAATTGTTGGGAATACAAACAAATACACCGAGATCTGCTAAACTGCTATTAGTCAACAGCTGGTACTTCGAACATGATGAGAGCCTGAAATCGTGCAGAACGTCCTTGCTGCAGGCTGCCTTAGATGCCAGAGTAAAGCAGTTCTTGCATAGCTGTGGTTGCATTAAGCCAACACAATGAGCTTCTCTTCTGAGCTCAAAGTAGGCAATAGCACTTGTTTAAATAAGTTCAGTATAGGAGTCTAATTCAGAGGTACTGGATGTCCATCTAGCAAGGCTGGTAATGGGTTGTCTTGAGCCTGCAGTAGCTGGGCAGAAGACAAATATTTTGTTGGTGCCTGCTGTTCATCCCTGACTCCGTTAGCCGCAGGTCTAGAAAATGGGCAGGGTGGCAAAGAGAAGAGGCGTGTGTGATGGTCATAACTCAAGGAGGCTTAGGCACATACAATGAGCTGACCACCTTTGTCAGGTGGTCAGGAAAAAAGCACAACATGCTTAAGTGAAAGGGAGCATTTCAAGAAGGAACTTTCACAATGGGAAAGGGAGCAACATGGGTGCTTTGTGACAACAAGCGCACACCAGCTCTAAAAACATGATGGGTGTTACTATCTAAATATCTAAACTCATACCTGCCTTGTTTTTGTGACCTTGTAGAGATACCCTCTGAAAGAGAGCAACATGGTTTCCCGTTACAAGAAGGAGTTCCTGGAGCTAGAAAGAATTGGTGTGGGGGAATTTGGCTCTGTCTACAAGTGCATCAAACGCCTTGATGGATGTGTTTATGCCATCAAACGCTCCAAAAGGCCTCTGGCAGGATCCTCTGATGAGTGAGTGTGCTAGCTAGAAACTGCCAGATGAAATGATGGGCATGTTCTTGGGAGGTGTGATGGGAGGATGTGCGGATGTAAAGGTATCTGAGGGGTGGCATAAGCAAAAACTGGCTGCTGTTGCACTGCCAAGAAATAGCAGGGAGAATGGGGGAAGTTACCACTTTAGGACTATCAGATATAAATGCCTGAGAAAGGGAAGAAGCCACATACATTGCAAAGAGAGATGACAGCTTACCTGAACTCCTCATGTCCATGCAGCTGGTATCTTTAAAGTAACTGTCAGACAGCTGATTTGTGATACGTCCCCGCCCTGCTGTGCAGCCAGCACTGCTTACATTGACCAGCTAATGTTGTCCTGCATGCTAAAGCAAAGCCTTTGAAGCTGCCTTTACCTCTTTAACAAGACTTGCTCAGTGATTTGTGTTTTTGACAGCTGCTCAGTACATTTGAGCATGGCTAAGTTTTGCTTCAGCAGCTGTGAGAGCCAGACAGTCTGCCAAAACCGAACATAAAGTTCTAAACACCTCTACTTTCCCTTTCCCAAGCCAGGCTGCAAACCAGGCTTCCCCTTCTCGTCCCAAGCAGTCACACCCTGTCACACTGCTTTCCCTGTGCATGCTTCTCCAGGCACGTGGCACTGCGCGAGGTTTATGCTCATGCTGTCCTTGGACACCACCCCCATGTTGTACGCTACTACTCGGCATGGGCAGAGGATGACCACATGATCATCCAAAATGAGTACTGTGATGGTAAGAGCTGTGGTGTTGTTAAAGCCTGAGGTCTCGGGATGGGTGCCGGTACCTGCTTTTGTACTTGAATATGGAACATTTTGGTTTACAATTAGGCCAGCTGCATTGGGGCTACAGTGCCATGGAGAATCCAGTAAGGGTTCATAATATTTAGACAAACCTCTGAATGGTGCTAATGCCTTACAAGTAGTGAATACCCTGTAATTTGTGGGAATTTAAGACCTGTTCGTCTGTATTGGCTGGCCTGGGAGAAGTATTCCTCATGCTGATGCTTAGAGCTGTGTCTGGGACCGCTCAGGTAAAAGCTGATCTGAGTGACTCGAGCAGGTAAGCTAAGTGCATGTATCTTGGAAACAAACCCTTCTTAATGGCAGAGAATAATGATCTGAAGAATGACTAGTGCTCAACAGCTGCAAAGGAACTGAGCTAAATAATGAGGTAAACTATAAGTGGGGTGCTGCAGGCAGGGTGGTACACTTGTACTTGAGTTTGCCCTTGGCAAACTCCCAAACATTGGGAGACATTGTAAAAGACACCTCTGCTACCAGAGGAACTGAAGGCAAATATGTAGCTCTCATCTTTCAACTGCTTCTGCAGTCCTGAGACTCAGTGATGAGTGGTGATATCTGTTTGGAGTAATGACATCAAATCTGGTGGAGGTAACCATCAAATTAGTTATCATTGCTGCAGCACTGATGCATTTCTTGTGTTGTAGAGGATGAAAACCAGAGACCAAAGGAAAGGTGATGAAATGCAAGTTGATGAGGAAGAGGGGTTACGGCACTGGCTAGTCCTGAAATAGCCAGAGTGCCTTGACGGAGACCCACAAAGCTCTTTTGTGTGCCAGATGTTACATTCCTCAATCAAATCTGCCAGCGGGAGCTTAACTTTCTTGCTCCACCATTCACATACCTGTTTTTTTTTGCCTGCTAGCATGGGAAAAGTAACTTTTACACTTTTGGCATGCAGCAGCATCACTATCAGGTCAGCCTTTCTGGTGCTGTAGTTAGAACTGCAGTTGCTCAGTCTTTGGCTAGCAAAAAGGCTGAAGCCAAATGGTGATATCCTAGTTTGATCACTAGAGCATATGTAACTGGTCTGGCCAGGGTTTGTCACTAGGAAGCCTGCACTTTCTCTGGGCAACAGTTTCTACTAAGCTGTTTTGAACATGCTGCTCCATAAAATCTTTGTCAGGTCTGACTGACCATTTTCACCTAGGTGGGAGTCTCCAGGATGTGCTGCTGGAAAATGCAAAGCTTGGCCACTATTTCTCAGAAACAGAGCTGAAAGAAATATTGTTACAAGTCTCCATGGGGCTAAAATACATCCACAACTCTGGCCTTGTGCACCTGGATATCAAACCCAGTAAGTATAGCACTCCCCTCCTTTGTGGAGGGGTCTCCAAGTGATGCTCCAGGCACAGCACCTGTAACAGGTCCTTCTGGCTGGACCTATTATAATGCCTCTAAGGAAAGAGGACTTTGCCTTACAAGGTGAATGTCTTGTGTTTTTTTTGGTTTGGTGTTTGGTTTTTATCTTGTCATTATTGCTGATCTGAGACTGAGACTTTGCTGACAGTTGGCAGCATTTTACTTCTGTCTCACCATCTTCGTAATCCTAGCTCATGGGAATCGCTTTGATACTGGTGGAGCGAGTAGGGCTGCTAATGACGATGATGATCCTTATTTGCAGTTGTCTAGTTGCACAACACTTGACCTTTGCATGTGAGAGCTGATGAGTGAATATTCATTGTACCTACTGTGAGAGATTAAGTTCCTGCAAAAAAAACAGTACAAGCTTTTCTCTCTGCAGCTGAGGATGGGTACCCCCAGGGCACTACTCTCCCCAGTGTCACATAGTTATATTCTTACAGCGGAGCTCACTTTTCCTGATGAAAGTACTTCTGTCCTGGGGGGGGGGCAGAGAGGAGGGGTGGAAAAGTTGGTAACACTGGGATATTTTATGCATAAGATACAGCTGTCTTTTGCCAGCTATACTGCTGAGTATGTGAGCTGGGCAGAAAGCAGACTAACAGGTGGGAAGCATGTGTGTAGTTTCTCTGGCTGCAAAGCTTAACTAGCTTAACTGTGATTTCTTACAAAGCTGTCAGGCTGCTTCAGTGTGGCTGCTGCAGTGTGGCTGCTGCTATCACGCAACTGCTGAACTCCACTGTCTTGCAGGTAATATCTTCATCTGTCACAAGCCGGCAGTTTTGAGCCCAGCTGGGCAGGATGAGAGCGACAGTGAAGATGAATTCTCTTCTAGTGTGGTGTATAAGATTGGTAGGTTTAAGCCCACTTTACAACTGGCTTAAGATTAGGGCTGCTCACCACTGCTTGATATTGCTTTGTCCTGCTGGCTGAAGAGACTTGCATAATAAACTGTGAACACAGTCCTGAATGCTTTTGCTACTTACCAGAATTAATTCCTTTAAAGAGACAAGTCCTAGAAAACTCATGTGCTTGTTTCCAAGCCCAGATTCCCGAGTAGGTGCAAGCTTGCTCTCTTACACGATATTTCCCAATTGATCTGCTGATGCCTATGAAATATAAGCCTTTATTGACAGACACCTACAGTTTGCTACATTGGTTGCTTGTTCTTTCTCAGGTGACCTTGGTCATGTGACATCAGTAACAAACCCCCAGGTGGAGGAAGGAGACAGACGGTTTTTGGCTAATGAGATTTTGCAAGAGGTACTGCTGCTGGCAGGGTGGTGAGAAGTGGGCAGAGACCAATTACAGTAAAATCATTACTCTGACATATTCCTTGCCTTATTTCCTCTTTTGTCCGGTCTGGCTGTGAAATTGTCAAAACTAACACTTTAAGAACAGTACAGGCATGGGGCTTGTCAAGACTATTTAACATACCTTATAAGTAACTTTATCACTAAATTACTACAACTATTGAATGGGACAAAGCCTTTTTATCAGTTTGGAGACACTTCATATACACACCCAGATGAGACTGAACTACTGGATGTGATTACTGAAGATTAAACAGGGGAAGTTTAGATTGGATATAAGGAAGAAATTATTTACTGTAAGGGTGGTGAGGCACTGGAATGGGTTGCCCAGGGAGGTTGTGAATGCTCCATCCCTGGCAGTGTTCAGGGCCAGGCTGGACAGAGCCTTGGGTGCCATGGTTTAGTGTGAGGTGTCCCTGCCTATGGCAGGGTGTTTGGAACTAGATAATCTTAAGGTCCTTTCCAACCCTAAGTATTCTATGATTCTATAATATATGATCCCAGGTAGATGCCTTGTACAACAAGCACTGATCAGATAGTGTGGAGAGGTGGGAGGCACAACACACCTCTTACATTGGCTGTGGTTTTGCCACTCTGGTCGGTGAACAAGAAGGGAATCAAAAGGTAACAACCAGCCTGGATGTGTTCATCAGCTCAGGTGTTTAAGTGACAGGATCTTTTTGTGCTGCAAACAGATGAGGAACCATTAAGTCCGTACATCACATACATTCTTTAGTGTGAGTTGGGCAAGGCTACTGTATTCTCTTGTCGTGTAGGCTGGAGGCACGCATTTGTTAGGCCATCCTCTGGATTTGTTGGGATGATCCTAATGTGGGCTGCAAGCTCCTCATGACTGGGTGAAAGCCAATTTGCTGTTAGTTACCAATGTTATCTGCTATCAGTGTTTTTATCCTAAAAAGAAGAAAACTAACTGGGATGGTGAAGGCAGTGTTGTATATATATTTGTTTGGCTGTTTCTATTTGAGTTTGTACCCCAACCCACCTTTGTTCAGTGCATTAGGATGTTCCCTTTCCATATCTGTTTTTTCTCTTTGCAGCAATACTGCTGTTTGCCGAAGGCAGACATCTTTGCCTTGGCACTCACAGTAGCACTAGCAGCTGGCACAGCACCACTGCCTCACAACGGGGCCATGTGGCACCATATCCGCAAAGGCAATATCCCACCGATCCCCCAGAAGCTTCCTCAACACTTTCTGGAACTACTCAAGGTGAAGAAATAGTCTTGACAGGGTGGAGGCTTTTCCAGTTTGGCATGTGACAAGAGGGAGTGTTAAACCCTGAATTCCTCTGCCTTCCAGCTCATGATCCATCCCGACCCAGTGGAAAGACCTTCTGCCATGGCTCTTACTAAACATCCGGTTCTCCGTCCTTCACGTGGAAAAGCAGTGCAGCTCCAGAAGCAGCTAAACGTGGAGAAGTGCAAGACTGCCATGCTGGAAAGGTAAGGCTGGCTTCAGCATGAAGGCAAGAAGACATGGGCGTGACAAATGCTGGTCACCAGTAGTGTTGGGAGACCAAAAGTGCAGAAAGACCCAGTCAGCTCCTTTGCCTGGAGCTGGGAGGGTGATGCGAGGACCTGTAGTGCCCAAGCAGCTGTAGCTCACTTCTCACTTGGAGGAGTTGGCTAAATTAGAGCAGTGAACTTGGATGCTTATGGCAAACTGGTGATGGAAATTACTGATACAATATACAGCCAATGGGCAGTGGAGGAATCCACACTGCACTGAGACAGTGGCCTAGCACAGCAGGAAGAGAAGTTCCAGGTGGTGGCAATAATCCTCTTTCCCCTTGCTCCCTCTCACTGCTCTTGGCAGTAACATTTTGAGGTACTGGGATTTAGGATCTGCCCCATGACTCCTCTTAGCACAACAGTCAGCTGGGGAATAGGTTTTCCATGTAGACAGGACAGAATATGCTCTGGAAGATTAGCCAGGCATTAGGGAGAAAAGGCAATGGAAAAGAAGCATGTGCTTTTAGGTATTTGTGCTTCATGAGATGACTCTGATCAAAGTTCCACCATTCACAAATCTGAAAAAAAAGGAGTGAGGGACCCTTCACAGTGATGCCAGTGTGTTGCTGACCTGATGCGTAACTTTCTTTTGTTAAACCTTCAAAGCTGATCTGTTCTGAAGTAGATTAGGTATTTACAGAGTTTCTTCATCTCGCTCTTTGGGGTGGAAAGTCGCCCTTCTCCAGCAATGCTGGAGTACTGCAGTAACCCCCTTGAGCAAGATTGTTCATAGCTTTCTTCTGCAGCTGATGGGGATTTTCTTCCTCTCCTCTCCCGTCTCCCCCCCCCCCCCCCCCCTGCAGGGAACTTAAAGCAGCCCGCCTTGCCCAGACCCTCATGAAGGACCAGCCCTTAGGAAGTGTCAAGTTGCAGCAGTCTGAAACCTCTCCTAAGCACAACAAGCGCCTGGTGGGAGGGAAGAGCTGTCGCTCATTTAGCTTTACTTTGGGTTACTGAACTTGTGTTGTCCAAAAAGCTCTGAATGGCTGCTGAATGGCTCTGTGAAAGCAGAGGGTATGCACAGACCAATGCCCCATATTAGCTCTCCCTGTTGTGGTTTTTGGTTCCCTCATTAGTTACCATGAAACGTTGGCTGAGGGAAGAATGACTAGTTTACAAGTGTCAGATCATGAGATAAATTATTGTCCTCTCTATCTTATCTAATTTCTTGTGTAATTGGTCTTCTTCTAGACTAAGAATACCTTTGCTGTACAAGGAAAAGGATGGCATTTCCTCTACTCATTTCCCTCTTTAGTTGGGGCCTGTTACTTATGTTTTTTGTAGTCTTAATGCTCTGGCCACCTGTGTATCTTTAGAGGGGAGATAGTGGCTGTACATGAAGACAGCATCCACACTGGGTCCTCCTAGGAGTGAGGAGCTAGAGACTATGATAGACAGTTCTAACTACACATCAGGAGACAGACTGGTTACTGGCAATTGGAGAGGCATTTCACTAGGGAGGACAAGAAGGAAACACTTTTGAGTTAAGGAGCCTTACTTGTGGAAGTTGATGGAAAACTTTCCCTCCCTCAGCTTCCAGCAATAAGCACAAAATCCTCTAACTGGTTAAACTCTTGCAGACTAGCCCTTGATGCTTGACTTGTTTTATGCCTGTCAGCAAGGACTCCTTGCCTTAAGTGGGGTAAATTACTGTGGTGTGCTGGTAGATGGGTCTCTACCTACCTGCCTGCGGCCTTCTAGGAAATCAGAAAATGTGTGGGTTTGTTTTTCTTTTTTAATTGCCCATGTAAAATGTGCGTGCGCTAAATCTCACCCCCCTGCTAAATGTAACTTCCTCAGTCCTTGCTGGCCGCATGTCTACCTGTGGCAGTCGGACACGAATGCTGTGCTGGTACCACGGAGAAGCTAAAGTTGGTAACTCAGTTATTTTCGGGTTTTACTTAAGTTAGTTTTCAAACGTCGCTTTTAGAATGTGTTAGACCCTACCCTTTAAGAAGGGAAACGTGCAAATAAAGATTTTAATTCTTTTTACCTACGACACCATGCCTCCTTTGCTCTTTCTCTCCTTGCGCCTCCCTCCGCGCCCCAGGCTCTCTCAGTCACACGCAGACCGCCCCTTTCCCACACGCGGTGCTCAGCACTTTCTCGCCCCCCGGGCCGCTGTCCCCGCGGCCCTCCGCAGACCCGCCGGCGGGGTCTGAGGGCCGCGTTTCCTGCCGGACCCTCTTTGGAGAGGACCCGTGGTTTCCCGTTCCGTTTCCGTTCCTCGGCGAGGCTGCGGCGGCAGAGGTGCAGAGGGCGGGGGGTCGGGCGGGAGTGGGCAGCCGGCCGGCTGGCCGGGACCGGGCGCACTCCGCCGCTGCTTTAGCCCTGCTTTTCCCTCCTCAGGCACGGCGGCATGTTGCGAAGACCAGCGTGGCAGGTAGGGCCATGCGGGGCGGCTTAATGGGTCCATAAGGGCTGGGCTGCGGCCCCGGCGGGAGCTTGGCCCTGGGTTTACGTCCCCAGGATGCCCGCAGCGCAGCCGGGTCGCTCGGGGCGGGGGAACAGCGGACCGCTCGATCTCTCCCGCCTTGGGGCAGGGTGATGGTGGCGGCGGCGGGAAGCAGCCCCAGCTCTTTCTCCCGCCGCGGGGCTTGTAATAACCCTTTCTCCGGGCACGGGAAACCCGGGACCCCGAACCCGCGCCCCGCGGCAGGGAGGCCGCTCGCCTCAGCACGGCGAGCCGCCCGGCCTGGAGGAGCGCTCCGCTCTGGGGCGGGGCCTCGGCTTTTTCTGCCCGAACCGGCGCGGTTCTACCTTTAGGAAAGAAAGTTTGGATTCTCCCGTGGGACTGCAGGTGGTGTTTATGTTATTTCTTGAAAAATATGTGGCGCTACCCATGAAGAACGGAGGAGGGTTCTGTTTGCACTCGTGCTCTGTAAACAGTGCGAATGCTGGACGTTAATTACTCAGCTACTGAAAAAAACAATGCATTAAAAGACGTGGCTTGCACATGGAATGAGTCTTAGATTTGCATCTGCATCAATGAACCATGCAGGGATATCAAAGAACTTCAGTTTTGCAAGTTGTGTTTAGCTCCTTTGTTTAGCACAGGACTGCCAGCCTCGCCTTCCTTTAAGTTTTGCAACCACTTGTAACAGAAGATGGGCTTTTCTTGCAGTTGCTGTATGTGGGTCTCTTGCAGAGGTGTTCCTGGGCTCTTATTGTCGCCTACTTTCCACTAGGACATTATATTTGCCAGAATCAAGTCAGTTCCTTTTCTATTTTTCACTTGTGTTTAGCTGCAGCACTTGGGTTTTTGTGGCCTTGATTTGCTGGTTGCTTGGGAACCAGGGGTTATCAGTGCCTCATTGTGTTCCGTACAGCGGTAGGTAGAAGTACATTTGGGGCACATCGTGTTAATTTCTGAAGTGAAGCAGAAAGTTGGTGAAACTGTCAAAACTGTGTTTGTTTCCAAAAAGCAAAGCTCAATGAAGTAAACAACCCCCCTGCTTCAACCCTTTCCTGTTATGTACTACAGAAGAGCAGTAATTACCACGTCCCAGAAATAATTGCTGGAGACATACCTTTAGGCCAGTCTTTTTCCTAGATAGCTTTTTAACCCCAGTTTAACCAGATATATTTTTAAATAATCCTATTAGTTTCATGTAGCTGAATGGTTTTCTTCTCTCAGTCCCCCTGTAAGTGGCCCCAAAAGAATGTACTTGCAGAACCTCTGTGTTTAGAAAATGAGGTGCAAAAGCACATGGGTACTGTTCATACTTTGTATCTTGGAAACTGACATCTGTCTGTTCCTTCAGGTGCTTCGACAGTTTGTAAGACATGACTCTGATGCAGTTAGTACATTGGTACTCGAAAGATGTAAGTAGCTCCTGAGATGAACCTTAGGTGTTACTCTGTGTGGTTTTTATCTCAGTTTTAGAAAGGTCAGGAGAAAATCAGATAGGAGTGGTAGCTTCTGAATGCAGTAATAAAGAATGCGTTGTTTCAAATAAACCCTCTTAAGAAGCTTTTTATCTGGTCTTTGGTAAGTCAAGCAGTCATTAAGGGGGAACACAAAAAAGCCCTGACATGGAGTACAACCTGTAAAAGGCATGTAGCTGTGCTTTATTAGTGGCAGTGGCTTGGGTGTGCTGCTGTTATGTGTTCTCATACTTGCCTTTAGGTGTCTTGTGCTTGTTTCTCAGAATCCCATGTGCCTGGGGGACTTGTGTGGGTGCTTCTGCCCCAGCATGATTTGCTCCAGGTGTACGCTTTAGACTTTGCCATTCAATTCACGCACTCACTGTGCAAGAATGATGCTTCCCTGACCACCTCCAATTGTCCTGTAACAAGGAGAAGGAATAAATTGTGTCCACCTAGTCCTGGTATCTGTGTAAAAACAAGTGACCACCTAATTTAAAGAATAGGGTGTAATAATGCTATCTTCTTGTTTTTAAGATACTGTTTTAAGGACAAAACAATGCAATGCTATGGTCTCATTATGTCAGGTAAATGCAGAATAGTCTCAAGTGACATTTGGTTGTGTCTGTCAAAAAGATAACAAAGAAACAGAAAGAATGAAGAACCTTTAGCTTTCTAAATGAGCTTATTCAGCAGTGATAATGATAGTAGAGGCACACAGTCAACCATCTGCAGGGCCTGACTAAGCCAAAAGTCACAAGAGCTTGAAAAATGGCTAGGAGGTGCAGAAAGGAATTTTTCTGGCCCTTGACAAAACCTGCAGACTTACGACTTGCCGTGATTAGAAACATCGTAATTCACCTCTATATGTATTTACTGTCTCATGTTTCAGCCATGAATCGTGTTCAGTTACTTGGTCGGGTGGGACAGGACCCTATCATGAGGCAAGTGGAAGGAAAAAATCCCGTTACCATATTTTCTCTTGCAACCAATGAGATGTGGCGAACAGGGGAAAGTGAGGTAAACCAGGGAGGTGAGTCTGCAATGAGCAATGTTCTTCTGCTGTGTTTCAAGGTCGTCTGCATATTTGGTAGCACTGTGCTTTGTCTTCAGGCTGCCATGTAAATCTCTCAGGTGCAGGGAAGTTCCTTTGAGGTCAGTAGAGAAGCTGTTGCATTTATGTGTCTTACTGATCCCCAGCAGCATGTACTGAAGAGAGGTCTGCATATCGGCCTTCCTCCAGAGGAGGGGAATGAGTGTTGAGTTGTAGTTTTTCACTGCTGGGGTTGCCAGAGGTGTAGCAGGTTCCATACTATTATTTATATTCCAAGAGGAGGGGGGAGAAAAGAAGAATGATGTCTTTTTTTTTCTTTGATTCTTCCATCAGTCTAAGGCTACAGATGTCACTTTCTTTCTCTAACTTTTGTTCAATGTGGTGTGTGTGAGGAGGAAAAAAATTGTAGTATGAGCACTGGCTTCCAGGAAAACTGATCGCTTGGTTTGAGCTGTGTTTCTGCACGATACTTCCGTTTGGATGCACATGAGTGGAACACTGAGTTCTAGTATGAAGAGGGAGACTGAATGCTCAAATCACTTTTCATAATTTGAGAACACCAACACATTGAAACTAACTTCTGAGATTTGCATCAAAAAGAGGATTTAGCATCCAAGTTTGCTATTTTTATGTAACAGGTGATATCAGTCAGAAGACGACATGGCACAGGATCTCTGTCTTCAGACCCGGCCTCAGGGATGTTACCTATCAGTATGTGAAGAAGGGGTAAGTGAATAACAAATGTGGTTGAGGATTTAATGCCCTAATAATCAATTAATGCAGTAACTATGGTGACCAGAAGCTATGCTCAGATAGAAGTGTCCTAAAGTAAGTTAGCAGACCTGCTTCAAACAACTGATGCAAAAGCCTATGTATGCAGAAACAGAGGAGAAAACAGCAGTACAGTTCTCTGACAGGAACCATATTCTTGATTTTTTTTTTTTTTTTTCAGTGCTCGAATCTTTGTTGAAGGGAAGATAGACTATGGTGAATATACCGATAAAAACAACGTGAGGCGTCAGGCCACAACAATTATAGCAGGTAAGGAACAACACACTAAGGCCTACCTTGCCCTTTTAAAATGGAGAAGGGGTGGAGGACCTTTGAAGTAGAGCGTGGCTTGTCTTATCCTCAGTATCATCACCTGAGGATTTTGAAAGAATGAATAGGCTGTACCACTAGGTGTCCTCTGGCACCAGTTGTGAAGATACAGAAAATGAGAGCATGTAGTTGCAAACTGTTGCATCCTTTGCTCATGCAAACCACTTGGTGCAGAAGGTATACACTGTGTGGAAGGACCAATTTTAAGGATTTCTATGTGAAAGATACTCTATGTGGGGGTGACTTGGTGGAGACTTTAGAAAGACCTCAGTTGGGTAGACAGTAGTAAAAGAGCACAGAATGGATAGGGAGTAGACTTGTCCCTTGGGTAGACATGAAGAGAACTGGGAAACTCAACTTTTTCTGTTTATGGAGGGCTAAAATAATTGGGTAGTACAACAAA